AGGCATATTGTAAGAATAGGATGAATTATGAGTGAAGTGATATGCCACTAAATATTTTCAAAAATCTTTTGAACTTAAAAGCCTTATAAATTAAATGAAATATAATAGTTGAATATATGACAATGAAGGAAACTAAAAAGTAAACAAATTAATGATAATACTAATGTAGCATCTTTATTTGAATCATTAATATATAAGTGTCCAAAATAAAATATGATGGTGATGTAAAGAGATTCATGCACATGAAAGAGTAATAAACCAATTGAGTAGGTTATTTATATTTACTCACTGACTTGGCATATGAATCATTAATAAAGCAAAGCATCACTTGAACATGAAAGTATATAAATAATAAGTAAATATGCAAGCAAGTAAAAAAATATAGAGTAATTGAACACAATCAAATTTTATGTGTTTTGACCCTAATGCATAAACCCCTACTCTGGTGAGCAGGGTTTTTTTTTTTTTTGGGCACTTTTCTTTGCTTTAATTTTCTTTATTTGTGTTCTTCTTCTAGTATTCAATCATAGAAAAATCCTAAATCCCATTCGATACCTCTAAATTCAAGTAAAATTACCTATAATTAGTGTTGGCCAGGTTTTCCGGAATTGCTGGACCAGTTCCATTCTTGAAAGTATTTAACAAATCCAAACTACTCCAAATCTCACCAAAATCATCAGATCATTATTACACATTTTATATTTTAATAATCCTAAATTTATTTTAGGTTATTATAGTCAAAATTTTGGAGATCAACTTAACACTAATTGTATTTTCAGTTTGCTGTTTTAGTTCTATAGCCTAACTCTAGTCAATAAAAAAACCACAAAATACTATCAAAACTTGATAAAAAAAAAAAACAAAACAAACAAACAAATAAAATCTTCTAGATCCTATTAAAGGATGTCCACGAGCCATTCTAATTGGTATGAATCCCACTTTATCTAAATAAATTCACATCCAAATTCCAAACCTTGTTCAACTTTGGATATAATTGACCTATACTACCTCTAGTGCACTATTGACTCACCAAACCATTTTTTATCTTGACCAAGCTCTTCAGAATTAAATTACACATCCTTACCTACAAATCAAGTATAAGTTTTTTTTTATTTGAAGATCTATAATGGGAGAACCGTCAGAAAGAAAATTGACTTTCTATTTTGGATTGATTGTAGGAATTATGTCTTATCTTACATTTACCTTCAAATTAACTCTTCCAAACTAAACTTAACTCACTATAGGAAAATTATCTATTACCGGCAAAAGCCGCATAGAAAACCACAACCGACTGCAAATTTTTGGCAAGATTTTTTTTTTCGGTAGAATATTATAGCCGAAAAATAAAAATATTAACTAAAAAAAAGGTTGTCTGCTACGGTGCTTGCTGCCCTCCCATGATGCTCGCTCAGCTGCTCTGCTTACCTGCCCAATTGCCCGTTTCCCTGCCCGTTAGCCCAATTGCCTGCTACCCTCCCTTCACTACCCGCTCGGCTGCCTTCATGTGCTGGGATTCGAAGTGAGTGTGATTTCATAGACCCAACCAATTTATTGGAAGGAAAAAAAGTGTTTAAATGTCACACTTTTTTTATTTAAGATATAAGAATTAAAATCTGATGGAAAAGCTGCCAGAAACGCTGCTGGAACCAAAGCGCTAGAAAATTGCTAGAGAGCCGCAAAAAAAATCTATAGAAAAATTAGTTGGACATATTCTATAGGAAATATGTTGGGAAGCCGTCAAAAAATAGTCCGCTGATAATCCATTGGAAAAATCTGTCGGTAACAGACAATCTTCTAATTATTTTAGAAGAGTTCACCATCCATCAATTGATCACAATTGTGATATAAAGCCCCATGATCCCATCCTCATCATTACTATAAGGTTAATGCAGAAAAATGCAATCACAATATTTATAACACAACATATTATAAGCTATAACACAATATAATGCAATATAACAACTATACATAATTAAATTAATACAAAAATAATTACAATAAACAAGGATGTGAATAGAAGGCTTCAATCTTTTATTTTGCCTATCTAAAACTCTCTGGATTTATATGATTCTGAAATAAATTTAGACATAGACAATCTTTATAGAAGTATATATGATTAAGTGTAACTTTTGAAAAACATTTATTTGAAGTTAAAAAGATTATGTGTTGTACCATGTATACTCCTCAATCGCCATTACAAATATAACATAACACTAATAATACTATATACATAAATAATACATAATTTTTCATTAAAAATTTAAATGGTTTATCTTATGATATATTTGAAAACCTCATATATATGTTGTCCCTCCTCCATTTCCATGGAGTTGTAGATGAAAAAAGTTCTTATTGTTAAATCACTCTAACATCTCAAGGAATTAATTAAGATCACTTTCAAAATGAACTCTTCATTGCTTATAAGATCTACTTTGGCATGTAAAGGGTTTGGAGTAATGCCATATCAACTCTCTTGTTAGGTAACATAAATAATCAATATGTTGTAAGAAATTAAGTTTAAATGAGTAAATTTAACTTTTTAAAAACCCGCTACTTGGATAAATTAATATAGTAGTTACCTTACTATCAAATCATATAGTAAGTGTATTCAAGTATTCAAATCACATCCCACTTTCATTGTCCACTCCTCCTCATATTTGGAGTTAATCTTTCAATCTTGATATGCTAGCCTTAAAGGGAGATAGTTTCTCTTCATCAATCATGCGAAGGGGATTTATAACACATGGATCTTTTGGTTTGTGCCTCTTTACAAATGGATATATGAAGTCTTTGGTCAAATAATTCTCATTTTCTTGCCTCATTCTTTGATTATAGAATAACTTGCATTACTTGTATGAATAATAGCAAGAGATATGCTAACATCTCCTACCCCTCTACCTCCTTATATATACATTTAATAATAAGTGATTGGTTAATATTCCCTATCTACTTTAACTCCTTCATCTCTTGCTGCTTCTCCACTTCGTCCCCAACCTTAGTAGAATGAATGGTTGAGTCAACATTAAATATCTTCTTACTATCATCTTTATAATCCTTCTCATTCATATGTAAAAATTTATGAACAAAAAACAACTTTAACTGTATGCAAAGGATGGTATGGATTAATGAGTAGCTTATCATTCTTTAGCTCTTTCTTCTAGTTTTTTCTTAGTGTGACCATCACACTCACCCATAAAATATGTGATGGTCACCTTCTTCTTCATAACATTTTAATTCATCAATAATGATAAAACATTTTTTCTTGTGGGCACTTCACTACTAATATAGCCGAACCCACGTGGTGGGATAAAGGCTTGATGTTATTATTGTTGCACTTTATTAATATTCTGCCTCAGCATCCTTAGTGCTCTTTCAAGATCTTTACACATTTCATCCATAGCTTTGGGATGGCTTCATAAGGCCAATACTTTCATGATATGCCATATCTAATGATAAATTAATAATGCAATGGCCGGGTTGGGTATTCTTTTTTTAGGGCAATGGCCTCATAGTGAAGTATATTCTACTTTAGCCATATTAATATTCTTTCCCATTATATCTTAACTCATGATTATCAAATGAGTTCTTTCTCATTTTCAAACAAGGCAATCTTCAAGATAAAACTATCATAATGTCTATTATGATTGAGTAGGGCGTCATCTATAATATAAAATAAATATAACTTTCATACACCATTCATCTCAATGCACTCTATGAATACTTTTTCTCAGTTTGTAATTTTGAAGTTGTCTGCATTCAAGTAGTTATATATCAGCTTACTATTTGTGCTCATCTTATTGAATTCCTCCTTATATAAAAATTCTCTAGACTCTAATTTAGTGATCACAACAATTTTGATGACTATAAATGCTATGTTTTTACCTTCAGCAGTAAATATAATGAAGTATCTCTCATTCTTGTAATGATCGCCTATTCTCAATAATGGTTGATGCATTAAACCTCAAAAGAACTATAGTTCAAAATGTTTAAAGCACTACCAAAATGGGAATTTCTTAGCCCTACTAATAAGATCATAATCATCAAATAATTCTATTCATCATATCCCAGCTCTATATGTGACTTGAGTAATATAAAGCCTATGCATATGATTAGAATATACATCTACATATATAACAAAACAACTCAAATGATTCAATTTTATATAAGATTATGAGGGAAATATAAAATGGTTTTAATTGTATTTGAATTATGCTTGAATCTTGCTCAAACATTGCTTGAACCTTACTTAAACCTTGCTTGAACCTTATTTGACTCATGTTAACACTGCAATCAAACATTGCGCGAACCTTATTTGATTCTCATTCAAAACCTATTAAAATCTCATTCGAACCTCATTCATCATGCTCAAAGGTTCAAATATGACTCGAAAAAGTAATACGATGTACAATGATTGAAAAGTTAAGATCATTGCTACAAAGCTTTATCATAGATCAATCATACAACCTACGAGATAACCAAGTGCATAAAAAGTGCTACGAAAGAGGAACATTCAAGCATCTCCATTTTTTGTAAGTTCTCGTGATTTCTCAGCGACGATTTTGACATCTATTTATATATAGCATGCAAAATTTAGTCTCATAACAAATTTTCGTCCATTTTTCTTTATGAAAATAAATATCAGATATATGTCATAAATTATGATACATGCAAAATAAAACTTTTTAAAATATATGAATTAATAAGTATTCAAGCTTATTATTAACATACATAATAAAAAAAAATATTAATTTTTTCTATTTTTAAATAAATAAACATAAACAACTATAAAAATAAAAAAATAGAGCCCTTAATCGAATATGCTATATACTTAACGGCAAGTTTTCTCTTTCTTCTTTGCACGCAGCCAGGGTTCTCCGTGACTCCGTGTTCCTTTATTTCCTTCCACGTGGCATTAGCCATCACCGGTCCACTGACACGTCGAGTTACAAATTCGGGTTTTTTTCTCTGGTGCATGTACTGGAGCCCAGCGTATCGTCCAGCTTCTTCTTCAACACCGACGCGTCCCTCTTTTTCCTACCCGCTGTGGATGTCATCGGCTCCGTCTCCGATACCAATCTCTCTCTTCCCGAAACCCTAACCCTAATAAAGCAATCCTTAGTCATGAATTTCTTCAAAACAGTGTTTTTGAGTGATCCGGACCCCTCCGATTCTTCCTCAGATGAGAAATCCCCATCCGATTCGCCCCCCCATGAACCGCAAGAAGATGAGAGAGGTGAAAAGGAAACTGCTGCGGTGGCAGCGGCCGATTCTGAGTCTGGCTATGATTCGAATACTAAGCCGAACACGCCGTGGGTTGGGCTTGGAAGTCTGATCAAAACCTTCGCTTCCAAGTCAGAATCAGTGATCCAGACCTATCGCCGCGACCTGGAGGAGTTTGGCTCAGGATTGAAGAAGGAGACGGCGGCGATTCGGGAGGTCGCCACTCGGGCGGTTCGCGATCTACCGTCCTCGCTGGAGGTTGGCGCGTCGGTGGCGCAGGAGTCTCTTGAGTCCGTTGGGCAGGCCATCGATGATTTTGGTGGATCAGTGTGGCGCGGCACTGCGGAGATTATCTCCGAGGGTAAGGATGCCCTCCTCGCCGCTGATTCTGACGTCGAGACCAATTCCTCCGATCTCCAGACGCCTTCCTCCACGGTTGTGACTGCCTCGGCCTCGAAGAGGTACAGCCGGTTTGAGACACAGGTTTTGGCAATGCAGGCAGATCCCAGTACTTTCTCTGAGGAGCCAGAGGACTCAGAAGATTTCCTTAAATGGAGGACTGAGTTCAAGTTGGAGGGGAAGGAGGAGGAGATCGAGATTCTTTGCTATGACAATGGAACTCTAGAAGGTCTCTTTGAGAAGCTCGTGCCTTCTGTTGTGGATTATGACACATTCTGGACACGTTATTTTTACAAGCTTTATAAGCTCAAACAAGCGGAGGATGTCAGGGCCAATCTTGTTAAGCGGGCAATCGCAAGGGAGGATGAGGAAGAGGTTTTGACCTGGGAGGTTGATGACGATGAAGAGGAGTCGAAGAAGGAAGAGGAGGCAGAGAAGTATGGCGAAGGAGAAAGAAAAGATGAAATAAAAAAAGAACATGTAGATGATACCAATCGCATTGAATTGGTACCGGAGAAGAAACCTGATGGGGTAACTGAAGATTTGATCTTGGAGGTTACTGCAGCAATTGATAATGAAATAGCGGCATCATCTGCGTTAGCAGCCGATGATGCCGAATCAGCCAGCAATGGATCAACCACCAAACCAGGCGACAAAGTGCTCCCCGATGCAAAATCTGAGCCTGTGGAATCAAGCAAAGATAGTGACATATCTATTGTGTCAAGCCAGGCCTCTATGCCAGAGGAAGAGGATCTTGGATGGGATGAGATTGAAGATCTTGGCGATCATGATGATAAGAAAGTGGGTGGAACTAGTTCAACAACGAATAGGGCAGATCTCCACAAGAAACCTAGTCTTTTAGAAGAAGATGATGATATGGTGTCTTGGGATATTGAAGATGATGATTAAGTTGCCAATCCTTGAACAAGCTTATAAAGAAGTGATATTGAAGGCGATTATGGCTGGCAAAGGCATGCAGGTATAAAGATGCCAACTTATGTTTAACAGTCCTTTATCTATTCCTATGCCTGCACGTTTATAGGTGTTCTACTAGAAATTACTATTCAACTACATTGCTCATTTAAATGTGCAAAGTCATTGTGCATCTCAATAAGTTAAGGTTCAAGTATTTTATTCCTGGAGGTTGTATTTCTGAATGTTGTTCTCTCTCTCTCTCTCTCTCTCTCTCTCTCTCTCTCTCTCTCTCTCTCTCATGAAAACATTGATATTAATCTTTCTGTAAATGTTTGGATAAAAGCATGCTAATATAGTAAGTCCATTAATTGGAGTGGTGAGACCTTGCAATGGGTGATAAAAGGATTCTTGGATTTGGTGACTAATGAAGTGTATCATTTTTTGTTTATTTTTTCTTTCATATAATTTGTTTTCACATGATTTAGTGGTCTTCTAAGAAATTATGCATACTTGGAGATGGTGGAAGTTTCTGCCTTGCAACATGATAGTCTTGCATTGGACACTAATGGCATGAATTAGCCAATATGATGGCTTCTTGCGGAAGGCCGAAAAAATGCTTGAACACTTGAATTAGATACATAAGTTTGTTTATTAGAGACATGCATGTTTGAATGATCCACATTGGATAGTGTTCGAGTTATTTGAAACTTGTTTTGGAAAATGAGAACAGTAAGAGGCATTTCCTTGATTAATCTATTTTTTGTTGTAGTGCATGTCTGTGTGGGTTAGTTGTTTGTTTGAAGGATTTATCTGTCTAACATGGTTGTACCAGCCAGTATAAAACTAGCATAAAGATTAAAGACTAAGGCTTTATTTGGGACGGCTTTATTACTGCTTCTTAAAATATTTTTCTAGTAAAAAAAATGTTTAAACTATTTTTTTTTTACTAAAACGCTGCTTTAGAAAGCAATAAAAAAGCTATTTCAAATGAAGCCTAAGACTTTGCTTGGGATGACTTTCTTACTGCTTCTTAAAGTAGCTTTCTAGTAGAATTAAAATTGAAAGCTACTTTAAAAAGCAGTAAGAAAGCCGTTCCAAATGAAGCCAAAGGTATTATCAAAGTACTTTGAAAGAAAGCAATATAGGTGGAAGACAAATTAAGTCATTAATTTTGTATCGGCCCCATGTTTAAAGGGATGCAAAGTTAAATGTAATAAAAATTACTTAAATGCATCAAAAAAAATTTTTGCTGAGTCTGTTGTTAAACTAATTTAGATTCTCACGCTACAAGGTTATTTATATGAAATCAGATTCATTGTGGCTAGCTCATTTTATTAAGGATGGAAACTTATCCAAATATTTTATTAATTGAAAGTAAGGCTCACGGCCAGTTAGTTACAAATAAGTTGGCATGAGACTAGTTACAAATAAGGATGGCACAAGGTTAGTTTACAGGTTAAATTTCATGCAGAACTAACTATTATTTAGTAAAGAAGGTTACAAGCTAGACTAAGAATCTGTGACCTTAATCCTGGGAATGAGAGACATACGTCTTGTGCTTGAGCTTTTTAATGATATATTGTGTTTAAGTAAGTCATTTGGGATGGCCGAACTTATCTTTTTGGATAATCTTATGTTAATCGGAACCCACTGTGGCTTAGGGTGGTTGGTGGGCAAGCACGGTTGGGAACCCCCCATCCCGGGTTCGAATGCCCTCTACTACGGCCTCCCCTCTTCAGTGGGGCAAAGCAAGTGTGGGTCCGATGCCAGTGGGTGGCCTCGCTAGGTTCCGCCGAGGGATTAGTTACGCCGCCAAGCGATTCCTTTGGAGTGGCAGTGGGTAGTTACCCCCGCTCCCCAAAAGGATAATGTAATTTTTACTTTTACTTTTTACATGTGCAAAATTATTAGCTAGTTTGTTTTTAAAGAATTTTATATTGGAATTTATTTCATTTTTTGGTGCCAATTTGTTTGTGTTGACTTACCATTATAGAATCAAGCTAAGAATGGTGTGAAGTGATTATGAAGATATTGTCCACCAATATTTTGATGCGTTTTATGAAGGCCGAGTTGGCCAAATAAATAATCAATGTTTAATGCTTACTGAGCTTGTCCTCATTTTTCCCTTTTCAAGAGATATGTTTATGGATTGTAACCTTACTAAGGCAAAATTAGGTGAACAAGAGCCTACGATAATGCTTGTGAAAACTTGCAGCTGGTGGCAAAAGATTGTTATTGGTTTGCATAAGATCTGCTGGAATTTGAAGCTAATTGACGAATTAAAAAGGCTTACTTAGGAACTTCGTAATTGTGAATGAGGTGTGGAAGGCCATTTCGTTCAAATCATATGCTATATTTAATTACATTGGTGGCCCAGATGCGAAGTATTTTGCATGAGAGGTAAAGGTAAATCTATCATTTACAGGAACATAATGACGTCTTGTTTGATTTATTTGAAATATATAAGGGAAAGCCATTGCTGGAAACATCCTGCGATGAACCAATTGATGATAAGCGAACAGCTGAAAGCCATCCCCGAAAAGGTGCTCGGCGGCATGACTAATCCTCGGCTGACATAGAATAGGCATCTATTTCAGAATCCTCCTGACCCGCGTTTGATTGGACCCCACTTAAAAGGCGCTGCTGCTCGAGGGAATTGGCGCACGGGTTGGGGAGTTTCCAACTGTACTCGCCCACCAACCAAGCTTAAGCAACGATGGGTCGAAAAAGTATTTTTGACCAAGTTTGGGACTTAGGAATGGAAGGTTGAACATATCATGTGTAAGCTTGGGTTTCATTTGATTTCTACTTTTTGACTAGTTTTGTGTAGAAAAAGCATCCATCAAAAGGTAAGCTCTGTTTGGATGGACCAACTGGACAGCCTTTTCTCTGTTTCTCTTAGAATTTATGTTCAAAAAGTTTGCTTCTAGGAAAACAAAATGGAAACCAGTACTGGCTAAACAGCTATAGAAAATCTCTAACAACAAAAGTGGTAAAGCATAGGTCATTATCAAATGAAACATAGACCAATGCAGTGGGACTTTTCTTCTTGGTATCTTTCTCACTTAATTTGAATGTTGACTTTGATTTGAGTTGGTTTTATCAAATTTAGGATTCGTTTGGGACGATTTTTTAACTGTTTAAAGCAGTTTTTAAGTACAAAAATTGTAAATTTTGTACTAAAAAATTGTTTTAATAAACAAAAAGAAAGCCGTCCCAAACGGTGAATGCTTGTATTGCCGATGACAAGAAATTTGGAGCTTACATGAAAAGATTTCAGTTTATGAAAAAACTATCATGATCACCATCATCATTATTAGCGGTGTTTGGATTGACTTTATGAATCCTCCCTTCCATTTATTCCTATCATGCTGCATGAGATTTTTCCTTTATTGTTTGCATTTTTTTTTGTTCACTATTTGAGCATATTAGTATTGATCTAACTCTTTTCCTCCTTGGGCCATAATTTTCAATGTTTTTCTGAGTTATTTGTCAATATTTATGTTTCGTTTGGGATGACTTTCTTACTTCTCTGTTTTAAGAAGCATTAAGAAAGTCGTTGTATGAAAAATTATTCTGTGCGGACCCCAGATGGGGTACGGAGAGCAATCATAATGTGTCATGTTACTTTTTTGCTCGTTACCTGTGCTCGGTATCACTCGGTACCGAGTGATATGGCACATTCTGATTGGTCTCTGGATCGTCCAGTGTCCATATCTAACTACCAATACTTCCTATTTCCTTAATCTTAAATTTTTATATTAAAATACTACTATCAATAGGATAACTTAAAGAATTTTTTTTAATATTGCTATCAATATCAGAATCAAGAATAAGGTTTAGAATGGCAATAGTAGCTAATTTGATTTAGAATTTGGCTCAGGAGGGTTTATTTTTTAATGTTAAACCAGGTCTATCATTCTATATAGAATATCAACCGGTTCAAGCCTCTTTAATGGCTGGCTGAATCAAATCAGGTATGAGAGGACTTATCAGACATTTATGTGGAATGTCACTTAATCTTTTTTTTTTTTCAAATTAGTTGGGTTTAAGGGTGTAAACAAAGTCGAGTATCTGTCTATTTGAGCTAAGCTCGTTTAGGTCTTATTTAACACGAGCTTGACTTGTTAAAAAATTTATAAGCTCGAGCTCGGTTCGATTTCTTGAGCTTGTTTGGAAAGTTTGAGTTTGATTTGATTGTTGAATTCAATTTCTTGATTTTAAATTAAAATTTTTAATTTTTTCATAGAATTTTTATTTTTAATATAAAATTAATTTTTCAAAAATTTAAGTGGATTGGCATATTGAATTCCATATAGAAAAAAATCATAATTTGTATGTAAATGTTTTTTTTTATGCTTTTAAAATTTATGTAAAAGTATTATTTTAGTAGACAACAATTGAGTAATTAAAATTCATCATTATAATACTCACATTTAAAAAAAAAAAATAGTTATTAAATTTATGATTTGGATTTTGTTAGTCAAAAAATTTTCGTTTGAGTATATCTAAAACCGAATAAATTGCGTGTAATTCTAATAGTTTATTATTCAAAGTGATGGAGCTATTATTAGTAGAATTCAAGTTGGACTGTTGAAGTGGAGGAATGCATCCGCCTATTGTGTGATAGAAAAAGTACCCCCTCAAACATGATAGAAAATTCCATAAGATGGTAGTGAGGCCTGGAATCCTTTATGGTGTAAAATATTGGCCATTAAAAGAGAAGCATAAAATTAAATTAAGTGTTGCAAAGATGATGATGCTCGGGTGGATGAATAACCGTACACTTTGAGACAAAGTACGAAATGCATATATACATGAAAAGGTTGGAGTAACTCCCGTGGCAAATAAGATTAGAGAGAGTTGCCTTAAATGGTTTGGTCACATAAAACAGCAGCCTTCTGCTGACTCGATTAGGAAAGTAGATGCATTAAATCTAGTCTATGTTAAAAAAAGGTAAAGATAGATCTACAAAAACTTAATCGAAAAGTATTAGAAATGTCAATTTTCTATTACAATTAAATGAGAATTTGACTCTTAATATGACAATGAAAAGAAAAGATTCGTGTAAATAATCACACATAATGGAATAAAGGCCGTTTTAGTTGTTGTAATGGACTAAGAAAATTGATCTATAGAATATTAAAACAATTATAACTTCATGGTGAGACACAGGGACATGATCTAATTCAAACACCAAAGGGTTAATAAAACATCTATTTCAATCAGGAATTCACACAATCAATAACCAGGTTGGTCTCTATTCCTAGATTAATTCCTTTGGAACTGCAAGTGACACATAAACAGACATAATAATCTGATTAAAATACCAAAGTGTTAACAAAACATCTCTTTCAGTCAGAAATTCAGGCATAAGGAATTACCAGGTTGTAAAAGAAGTCTTATGGTGCATATAATGGAGATAATCAAACATAAATTTCAACCAAAGTTGTACCTTTACACTTCAATATTTCCTTGGAACCAGTTGTTCTTCAAAGTGCACTAGCCATCAGATTGCATGCCTCTGAGAAGGTTCAAAATGGAGAGGAAGAGATTGAGGACGTCAAGGTAGAGAACAACTGAGGCCCAGATGTATTCATCGTAGGTATAACGCTTGATCAAGTTGTCTGTGTCGTAGACTAGGAAGGCAGAGAAAACAAGAGCGCCAAGTCCTCCAAATATGGCGACTGATGTTGGTCCGAGAGGGAAGAACATCTGCAGTGTCAGGAAAATACCAGTTACATGAACTTGTATGCTTATTTTAAGCTTCCCCAAACAGTAAATTTTGAAGCTGATAAGCAATGCAGGTCTCACTGGAATGTTAGAGATATTGCAAATTGAAACTCATTATATGGAAAAATCAAACACAGAGGGTTAGATTAAGAAGAAAATTGTTGTATTTGATTGACAAGTTTGAATTTTAGTGGAATCAGTTTTTCCTGCAGCTTTACGGTTTTTTTATAGTGTACAAAAAAGACATGCTACAGAGGTTGTGTTATTGGATATCCATAGCCCTCAGATTCCATCATTCAGAACCCTGTCATTCTTACTTTCATATAAGTATTTGCGATACAATCCCTGAATTCCTGATATCCCAATCAAGCAAGTAAAACCTCGACCTCCCCCCATGCTCATTGATTTCCAATATGCAATTTTTTTATGAGTAAGGTCCCAAAGCCACTTCTGAGTTTGTGACTAGAGCAAAAAAGGCACTCCATAGCTATTTTACCATAAGAAACAACTTATGATCAATACATCAACAAAGTCCACCAAGAAAAACTTGTCACAGTAATATCTGCAATTTGAGCCTACTGAACGTGAGCTTCTAACTGTGGTAGGATAATGATTTAAAAACAGCCTCAACATTCCACACTAGAGCTTCATTAGGAGGCTGCACAGGTAGCACTTTCTGCTTAATCATGAAACATTGTACTGCATTTCCCTCCAATAACACCATGGATTGATTTGGCTCTTCCAACTAAGGTTAAAAGACTTCCAGTCCTGATTCAACACCCTCATATCACTAACTCTTCCATAAGGAAATGAAAAAGGGGTACTTATTGCTCTCATAACAACGTGAAACAAGAGGATGGTTATTCTCGGAAAGTAGAGGATTATGACATGAAGGACCAAATAAAGTTATAAACCCATGAGTAGTCGTTGCAGTTTTGAAGGCCCTTTGCAAACTTAGCTATGCAAGGCACATAATTAGACCCAAAATATAATGAATCACTTCAAGGGGTACGGATCTAACACCAAATCAATCCAACATGGTCTATTCCATATCGCACAAACTTTATTCAATATACTAAGGATAGATACAAGGCTCCTCCTGTCTCACCAGCATTCTCCCCTCCAACATAATGATATTCTCATAGGGAATTGTCAATATTTTGTTACTTTTGCCCAAGAAAATTTCCTTATTTCTTGCCTCTCATCTGCCGAAAGAAGTCCAATTAGTGTGGTAAATCACTTTAAAGGGTGGGGACTTAAAACCAAATCAATCCATTATGGTCCATTCCATATTGCATAAACTTTATTCAATAGTCCAAGGATAGATACAAGGCTCCTCCTTTCTCACCAGCACAATTCTCTCCTCCATCATAATGATACTCTCGTAGGGAACCGTCAATATTTAGTTACTTTTGTAAAAGAAAATTTTCTTATTTCTTGGCTCTCATCTGCCAATAGGAAGAAACCAGACGGTTTGACATCCTACATTAAGCTCTCATTACCACATCCCCCTTGTTTTTCCCCCAGTTAACTTAACATAATCCCAAACACCATTGTTCGATCGAAAGTGATCTTTTACTAAAAAGTCTTAAATCTCAATCTTGCGTACACCCTAAGCAGACAACCTATATCTTGAATCCTGAAATAACCTTTAAGATTAATGTTATAAAGACCCGTTTCCATTCAGGAGAAAACTGCTATTAGCAAGCAAAAATTAGAACTCAATAAATCAAGTGCATTACTTGGAAATTAGAACTTAACCTAAGGATAATGAATCTCTTAACACAAATGGGCCCTACTCAACTAGTCTTTCAACCTGATAATTTTATTGGCGCAAATCCATAAATTAACGTACTCAAACCCAATCACATTTTTTTTGGGTCAATGTGGATAAAGGAAACTCTGCATGGCCTAGCTATAATAACCTGAACTAGACTATGTGGATAAAGGAAACTCTGCATGGCCTAGCTATAATAACCTGAACTAGTCTAGTTCACATAAACTCGGCCGACCTCTTCCCAATCATGCAAATTATGTGACTATGTCCTCCTCGTAGTGATTCTCCCTTCTCGCCATTTAAATCGACCAATGCTAGGGCATCTCTCAATAAGTTTCCATCGCTCCTCCCATTCTTGTTTCTCGACTGAAAGCCATTGACGATGAAACCCTTCATAAGCGTCATTCTCCTTTACTAGTGAACCTTATTGCTTTCTCTTTCTCTTATTCCTTGCCTTTATCTTCCCCTTGTTTTGAAAATTTCTCAATTCATCACTGCTTAAGATGATTTGAGGAGAATTATGATCTTTAATTTGTAATAAATCAATTTATTTCATGTTCATTACCCTTGTTAAATTTTATTTAATTGCAAGTAAACTCTTTAACATTTTAGGATAATAAAGTTGGAGTAATTTATAAATTTGCTCATGATTTAATGTCATGGTATGGTTAATTAGACTAGATTAATTTTTGGAGTGGCCTATACTGATTATGTTGGCACGACAATTTTCAATGTGTTACTTGAAGATTAATACAATTATGTTGGGCAACTTAGGTCTCCTGTTATCAAATATTTGATTCATGTTATAACCATAAATATTAATTTAAGACACTTTTATATAGGACCTTTAATTTGATTTTCAACAGGTGCAAGTTAATTGGATACCAATTTAAGTTGGATTATCACATCGTTCGTCACAAGGTAAATAACTATTGTTTATAAAGATATAAACGTATATTTCCTTATTAAAGGCATTATCTTGTTACTTGTATTAGGTTCTTAGATATTGCAAGTTGCTAGTCTTGCTTGTAATATTTAATCATTTCAATACACGTGCTAGTAGATTTTGTTTATTGTTCTTCATGAATTTTTCATGTAGTAGAATTAATTTTGCCTTGATTTATTATTTCATAGACTCCCATCTATTGTACTTGATTTCTGTTATAGAGGATCTAGTTTCATGCACATTAGTTTTATCAAATAAAATAAATGTTATTCCTATAAATCATATTGCTAGAAAATCAGCAATTGTCATATTGACTATATAATACCCATTGTAAACTTGCTTATGAAAAATTTAGAAACTTTATGCATGTATGGAGTGGTATGTAGATTGATAGAACCCTTTTATATATTAGCAAGTTAGATGAATTAGGTCACAGAGTAACGACTCTACAGAAAATCATTGAATTTTTTTTGTTTGTGTTTACCTTCGTGATACAAGGTGCATGATAAAATCGACTATATATATATAATATGAGTTGAAATGATAAAAATGATGAAATCTATTGGGATTGCATATGGAGATATCTGGATGAAATTTTATTGATGACAATTTGACAAGCATTATGGTAAAATCATCATACTAGAAACTGTCGAAGAAATTATAACATATTTCATTTACACATTGATTATCTGTTGTTGTGGTCATTATAATTTTTTTTTATTGTTCATGTTGCATGCCCCATTTTTTTGTCGTTCATGATTTAATAGATAGTTTCCTCACTCATAATTAACTTTTCACATAAGAAGTTCTATCAGAGTATCTGATGGACCATCACCATAGGAGCAAATTTATCAACAATATAGCCTCATTTGGTATTTTAAGCTTTTGTAGTTGGTTATTTGTTTTCCCTTCAAGTTTGGATAATTTTTATTTCTACCGTTGTTCCTTGCAGTTTCTTTTCACTTATTGATGAACTCTTATTTGGATTTATAGTAATCAAATAAATTCTTGGTTCCTCTTACATTGTTTCCTCTGGTATATTATGTATATTATTTGTATATGAATTTTCCTTTTTGTGAGTACAAAATAGGTTCTCCTATCTCTTCAACGTGTTCTGTATTACCGAGATGTAGTGCTTTTCAAACCCGGGGTGTGAAACTAACACAACCTAAAATGTTGGTCTGTAATACTCATTTCAACCCAAAAAAATTTAAACTGTTAAAATAAAATTTAATTCAACCAAATAAATCAACCATCAAATAACATAACAGAGAGAGAGGTGAGGGAAAGAAATCATCTAAAGGAGAAACATAAAAATAGAGAAGAATTATATGAGAACATAAAAAACTACAGAACGTAGACTAGCATTGTAGAACATTGGTGAGAATCCAATTATTGTTTAGGTAGAAAGCAAAGGCCTCGTGTACTTTTTATTCCATGGTTTGGATATGTGCACCTTTGACAGCTAGGGGGAATAGAAGGGGAGGCAAAGTTCATAGAATTAAAAAAAAAAAAAAAAAAAAAATTATCATCTTTATGATTTTATGTTTGGTCAATACTCTTGTCTTCATTTCTATTTATATTACCATCAAACAAATAATATCCAATTTGAAGCAAAGGTGCATATACATTATGAAGCGAATAAATTTAACATATTACATGCACAACAATTTGAATGACTAAATAGATCTAGTCGAATTAATGTAAGCATATAGAATGCTGCTGTCCTTTTTTTTTTTCTATGCAGTCCAGGGTAGGCAAAGTTCATAGAATTAAAAAAAAAAAAGAATTATCATCTTTATGATTTTATGTTTGGTTAATACTCTTGTCTTCATTTCTATTTATATTACCATCAAACAAATAATATCCAATTTTAAGCAAAGGTGAATATACATTATGAAGCGAATAAATTTAACATATTACATGCACAACAATTTGAATGACTAAATAGATCTAGTCAAATTAATGTGAGGATATAGAATGCTGCTGTCCTTTTTTTTTTCTATGCGGTCCATGTTGAACCCAATACATAGTTGATAAACATGCATCAAACCAAAAGCTTATATTAATGGGTAAGGTCTATACTTATTTATTAGGAAATCTAACTCTTATTTCACTTCTGATGTGAGATTATTTTTCGCTCTCGTGTGCATCTACTAAACCTCCCTCTCACATGAGAGTCATCTACAATAGTTATCACTCCTCACATGAAACTTTTTAATACAATCAACTGTTATGCATCAAGAGTTCACCCAACAAGCTTATGTGGGAGTCACTCACTCTTGAACTTTTGCTCGATCAAAAGCAACTAAGACTAATGAGAGCTATAAAGTGAATTGAATACTTAAACCCAACAAAATCATCGACTTTGATCGCACTTATATGGGTGGAACATCAAGAACCTCATTTGAGCCCAAAGAACTAGCAGATGAAAACTCATCGACTTGAAAGCATAAGTCAATGTAGAAGGAACTTTATTAGTATATTAGGAACTCAACTCGTATTGCACTTCCAATGCAAAACAAATTTTCATTTCCATTTGTCTCAACAATCAATAGGCCCAAATAGCACCCTGCTATATCAAATCATCATAAGCAGCATAAACATCCAAATCAAAATTTAAGGATAGCTAAATGAATTATTCTTTAGAATTAATCATTGTTAAAAAGTAGATAGGGTGTTCTCTTTAGTTTATCATTTTGGACAATTGGTAGCAGTATAACGTTTAGTCTACTGCTTTTTCATTCATTCTCATACCACATAACCTCTTATCTCTTCTCATCGGTGTATCTTTTGCTACACCCACATTCCCTAATATAATCATCCAACATTTTGTTCTCCCTAATTTTATGACTTAATCTTAAAACTCTCATTTTTAAAATATTTAATTAGACTATCCAAGCCTTAATTGAAGCTTAGCACATGCATACATGCAGCCAGAATAAGCCAAACATGAAAAGTGAACCATGCTAGAATAATTTTTACCTTTCGTGAGTCTATAACAGCATACTTTCATATATTGAACCTCTATCAATAATAAGAATAAACAAGACTATCAGATATTAGGTTTTGAAAATTTTCTTAATTTATTATTCTTCTTGCTAAAAAAAAAATATTGCACCTACATATATATACAAAAAAAGTGTCTAATAAAGAAAATAACTAACCAGCTTAATTCTTTTCTAAAATTTAGGAAACATAATCATAGGAGAATAATTTTTTTCTAAAAATTAGGAAACATAATTAGAGGAGAATAATTCTTTCCTTAAAATTAGGAAACAAAATCATAGGAAAAGATAACAATTGATATCTCCTTTTATTCTTAAAAATACTTTCTTAAAATAAATTCCATAACTTCGACTTTCAAATATTCAACAGCTTTCATACAATCCTGTTTGATGTTATAAAGGATTCTGTCACATATCAATAGAGAGTAACCTATAGAATTACCCACTTAAAATTTCCTACATGGCTTATGAAACTTATTCCATACATTCCAAATATATCAAACCTCAAAATTTATTAAATCTTAAATGAAAAATAATGCAGAACAAAGTTGCATAAAAATCTCCGTTACATGCACTAAAACCATCCGAAGAAGAGGAGAAATTGATTGACAGACGCTACTTACCTGAATAAAGCTTGTCAACAGAAGAACCATAAGGCCAGCAAACAAAGCTGGTCCAAGATAGCTGAAATCTTTTCCCTTTCTAGAAGCCCAGAAAGCATAGCCGGTCAAGGATAAGACAACACCAGAAGTTAAAATCAAAGCCTCAAGTACAATCCTTCCTGCAATTAAATTGAAGAAAAAAGCATTACCCATCCATAACTCATGTATGAAGCAGCATCTTAAATTGCAATTACGATGCAGCATACCTTTGGTATTTGCACAAGCAACACCAACACTTAGGCTGAGGGACACAGTGAACAGCCCAAGAAATACAAAGTTCAGTGGATGCTTCTGTTGGTAATGGTAAAGTGGGCACATCACTGATAACAGATAACATAATCAGTAGCTAAAGTTCTAGAGTACTACATAGAAACTAATCGGAGTGAAAAAAAGACTTACTAAGCATGCATATTAACAATTCATTGTTTAACACAATATTGCAAACAAAATGCTAATGTCTATTTTTTTCCAAAGGAAGGAGTGGCTTCTAAAATGCAAATGGTCATCATGTTACATCACAATCAAACCATAAAGTCAAGCAAGCTTCATACTTCTATTCGATTGCCATGAACCGTAAGCAGAAATGGATGATAAAACCTTGTTTAGGACAGAAAAATTGACCATTTGTTAAAACCCAATAAGACTCATTTCTTAATATTCTCAGAAGTTAATAAGTCATATTTATTTATGAAGCCATACAGACAATTTAATAGACTTGAAAATATTTTTCTAAACCCACAATAATTTCCAATTGTTGCAAGGTCTGGAGAAATTTGTACAATCATCATCAACATGATTTTCATCGTCAACACTACCGGACGGCTTCAATTAAGATATAGAAATCATTCTCCATCGTTAGTTCCATAATATACAGATGACACTGAATGTTTTTTATCCCAAATGCCTTCCACTTGACGCTATTTTGGTTGTTGGTTTTATTCATAATGGATTATCTCAGATTCTCTCTAATGTCAAACTGAAACCTTATTAATACAGGAAAGGGACAATAATAAATAGAGAATGAGCACTTTAAATGATAAACTGCAAAAGTATTTAAAAGCCTAAATCAGAGGGGAAAGCATGCAAGATTGGAACTAACACAGAGAAAATGACCGAAAATATTTAAAAATTTAAATCAGTGAAAACTACAACCTGCTTTTTTTCCTTATATGGTTTATTTTGACAGTCAACATAGTTAAATATAAAACATGGAAAATTTTGGAAAATAAATCGACATGACCAATTTTTTAAGTTTATTTTAATTGATGACAATGATAAAAGGGTGCCAAATATACAGAGTTACTACAATGTGGGGCTTGACGAGGGTTTGATTTACACAATCTTCCTCCTGCAAGGTTATTTAGTGATTCAAAAGCATGAAATTCAAGTCACTAAAGGGTAATCTAACCAAGGCTTCAGATCCACCCACTAAAGTTATAAAGGATACAATAAATTATTTACCAGAAAAAATAATTTTTTTCTTCTAATTACCCCGAGTAGAGGTGCTTATGTTAGGTTTTGGAATCATGTTGTGAAGTAGATTTTCAAGTTTTGATTATCAATGGATGCCGCAATGCATATAATGTTCATGATAACAATTCCATTCTAGCAAAGATTATTTTATTGGAGATACTATCCAACACTATAAGATAACAAATAGAAAAATATAACAACAATTAATGTGACAAAGAACAAGTGCCTTGAAAGCTAAGTAGGAAATTTTAAGATATAAATAATAGATGATGTCATATAGACATACCCATCCAATAATTGTCCTTGCATTCCATAATTGCAATTTCATCACACATCACATAATGCCCAACTTTAGTTCAGGGATTTGTTGAAAGAGAGAGCCTAATACTCATGCAAAAAAAAATGTTACAAAGTTAAATTCAAGAAGAGCCATCCAATATTCTAGAGGTATTTAAGGAGAATAATTATTTTAATTTCCCTTTCAAATTGCAGAATCGTGGTATTAGTGTTTTACCTACATACCAAAATGAAGGCCAAACTAGACATAACTCTGGATTATTGCTCATTGGGAGCTCATTTAGTATGACTCCTACAAAAGGAACTTAAACAGTTGGGGTGCCCCCTATTGGCATAGATTTCATTGCATTTATAAGAACTCTTCAGGATGATCTTCATTGCAAAAGAGGACTCACTCCCAAGTGGTTCTCTAGGAATCCTTATTGTGTTACATTGCACATATTAAACATATGGAGAGATAAATATTCCTTTTAACAGGGAAAATGGCAAACATATTTCATCCAGGATTTCTAGATGTATCGTCACCTCAACTAGTTACTTTCAAAATGCGTGTCCTCCCGTGTATGTATGGTGTCTATCCTTTTGATTGATGGGCAAGTCTTAGACTATCTTGAAGTCATTCCATGCCTCCTTTTGACTCCTATCTTACTTAAATTTTTTTGTTCAAAGTAACCTGATTCTATTGATTTATCTTACCTGCATGAGTCCCATATTGCTCTATTCCTAGATCTCATGCCCACCCAAAGTTAGTCATTTTGGTAATTCGAAAGAATGCTTTTAGAGTATCAATTTGCCTGCTTTGGACAAATTATTTCTCAACAAGGCCTCAAATTTTGCAGTCCTCCCATGGTTCCATTGTGACTTTTTGTTTTGTTTCTATAATAACTCGTAAAATGAGAAAAGAAGTTTTATAATCAAAAGAGTTATTGTGCTACTGTGTATGTTAAGAACATTCTTAATATAAGTGCATCCTTTTCGGTAATGCAAGAAAAATATTGAATTTCTACAAATAGAAGAAATAAATCCAATTGTAGTTTTTGAGGTCCAAGATCCACATGCAGTTGTTATAAATCGAATAATGTATAGACTGCATATAGGAGGATGAATTAGTTTGTGCATGTGTTTACTAGAGGAAAAACCTGCTTCTGAATTGAGCTTAATGGCTTTTTATATTGGCGTAGTGGTTGAGAGGCTCTTTACCACTTGCTTGGTTAGCCTCAAAGAATCGCACCAAGCCATAATCATACCAAGAAATGAGGTGCCCAATTCACTTGTAATCTCCAACAGCGTGGGTTTCAAATCCATCTTGTCAAACTTGCATTCAATATGTGGCTCAATCTTAAAACAATGGATATTTTGGTTAAAGCAAGTTTAGTTTAGACAAGGGCACATCCACAGAATGATCTTCCTTTCCTTGCACATAGAGACTATATTCCAATAAGAATTTTTGAGGTATGGAGGCTATGCTTGATCATTAAGGGGCTGTATTGTGCTTTTAAGGATTTGAGGCTATGCTCAAGCGCTAGATAGTATCTTGAAGGCTTTGTCTGACAAGAGCTTTTGAATCCTAGAGGCTATGCTCAATTGCTACAGTACACCAAGATTTTGAAGCCTAAAAACCATGCTCAATTACTAGAGGTCTATAGGTTTAGCCAAAGGATTGTTTTGACCAGAGCTTTTAAGGCCTAAAAATATGAAGGCTAGATCACTGTTGGTTTGCACTAAGTTTTGAGGCATTAAGGCTATGCTTAGCTGCCCAGGGCGGCCTAAATGCTTTGTTTCGATTGGGGCTTTTGAGGTCCAAAGTCTATGCTTAGTCATTATGGCGCTGCGTTGAGCTTTGGAGGCTCGAAGACTATGTTCAACCTCCTTAGGGGTCCCTAAAAGCTATATTCGACAAGAGCTTTAGACTCAAAGGCTATGTTTAGTCATTATGACGCTGCATCAAGATTTAAAGGCCTAATGACTTTATTCCAATGAAGTTTTTGAAAGACAGATGTTATGCTTAATCTTTATATGGATGGAGTGAGCTTTTGAGGCTCATAGGCAATGCACGATCACCTTAAGCCAAAGACTTTATGACTAGAGCTTTTGAGGCCCAAAAATTAAGGTCAATTGCTATGAGGTCATGCAAAACTTTTGAGGCCTAAGGAAATGCTTGGCCATCTTAAGGTGCTTGAGCTTTAAGGCTTTTCAACTTTGTATGGCTAAAGCTGCTTTCAAGATTTGCTTTATGTTCCCTGTAAGAGGTTGGAATTGCCTGGTTATTACAAAATAATAAGAAAATGGGTCATCCCTTCTATTTTTTGCCATGATTTGGTTTGCTTCCATGGGCGATAAAATCTAGGATGAATTTCTAGACTATTTTCCTTGTCTATTGTCAAAGCAAGAGCTTTTCTTACATCTCATGAATAGTTAGGAGAGATTCTTCACTTGGTTATTGACTCTATTTGTGCTTTCCCTTTGTAGCCATCAAGTCTCAATGAGAGCACCAGATATTGATGCTCATTTTTAATTTGAGATTTTTTTTTTCGAGAAGGAGAGTTCGGTGGTAAATATATTCATAGAAAGATGCATTATGATGTTGAATCCAAGAAACATCAAGTAGCATCCAAGAGACATTATAAGGACGCAACCCTACTTTAAATTTCCCCTTTTGAGCATAATATTAATATATTATATTACCTATATACTCACATAGGGATCAAAGTCAAACTAGTTCCTCGTAATTTCTCTTTGCGAACTTATTCAATATAATTCCTACCAAAGGCACCAGAAGAGTCGGATTTTGACAAAAACCCAAAATTAAAAAATGGGCTTTAACCAACAACTAAAATACTTACTTAAAATTTTAACATTCAATCATAATAGTAATAGATGAATGAAAGCTTTAAACAATATATTACAAGGATTGGCATTGAAATATTTAAGTTTGGTAAATAAAATAAGGAATGTGATAAAACTTGTATCCTTTCAAAAATCAACTAGTATGCAATGCAGGGTGAAAATTAGTTTAGTGATCACCTAGGTGCTGTTTTAAGTTATCAATTAAAACCAAGAACACCACTAAACTATCTCAAAAAGAATGCAGATCTACCAAAAGAAACCAGGTGAAATTTCACAGGTTCATGACAAAAAAAAAAAAGAAGAATCATCCCTTAATTTGACAAGCTGCATGGACTTAAAAAAACAAACACAAGAAAGCCAAGTTTACGAACGTGCAAGCATCCAATAACTACCTCTAATAATTAGATTTGGATCACAAATCAATGGTACTTTTTTTTTTTAGAGAAAAATTTATTTTCTCTAAGAAATGGCACCTTTTTGACCCAAGTATGCAATTCACGTCAATAAAGAAGTAACCCTGGACTTCTAATAACTACGAAATATCCTTTAGCTATAATATGAATGAACAAGATTAAGCCATGGCACTATCCTCGACAAGTGAAATTCCTAGCAATGAAAATGACTGCACAGTGACAATTGTTACATATGGTCTTCAGTTTCAATGTTCACGTTCTTCCCTTACAAGATCTCTTACGTCCAATGAAATCTCATATCAGATCGCAACGATTATAACCAAATCCAATCATCATTTCTCATGTAATAGATCGCGCATCTTTAAATCGACCTCATCCATAGCAAAGATCGGCGCATTAAACAAGCATAAGAAATCGACACCATCAAAATGCACAACCAAAACGAATAATCACAAACAACTGATGCGCGAAAGAGACAGATCGGAGAAACAAGTTAGGGTGTGAGAATTGTACGGAGAAGAGGAAGAAACGCAAGGACGAGGGCGAGGGACGGAGATCCGGAGAGGAGATTATTGACGGGGGCGTAGAGGACGGTTGTGGCTGAAACGACCGTGGTAAGAACTATCTGAGCGGCGAGGATGCCGTAGACCTTGCGAATAAAGCCCCATATATAAGAGTTTTGATAATATTAAAGTTTGATTTGAAGTAAAATAAACGTATTATAAAATTTTGATGCATTTTTACCATATGATTCAATTTTAGGAGTTTTTAGATTAGCTGAAAAATGAATGGAGTGTAAAATATGACAGAAGGTGGCTGACAGTGACAGTGGTGGCCGTCGAGAGCTACAGCAGGCGGTAGGGCACAGTGACGGCCGGTAGTGACGTAGCAACGGTCGTTTGAGGTCAACAGTAGTGGTGGCCGGAGGTGGAGGGGAGGTGGCAGCAGTCCTCGATGTAGGACAGTGGTGTTGCGGTAGTCGACGACTGTCTATGCTGGTGGCAGGCGGTCCACGGCGGTATATTAAAATAAAACATTCTGAGCACATCGACATGAAAAATTTCACATTTTATCATGTATTTTAACTTGGATGTCATTCCAAGAATTTTAATGATTATATTGGCATTGATGAAAGTTGCTACAGAACAATATAAGTTTTGAAATATTATTATAAATAATATATATGAATTGTTTTATGATTTGAAGTTGTTGACATATATACACACATGTGGCAATAAACTCTAATACTTAAGGTACATTGGCAAAATTGTATATTTTTGTGATAGGTAAAACACTATTCATTCATTTTGACAGTGTTGATGTTTCTATATTCATGCATAAAAAAATGTGTAAAAAAGGAGAGGAAGATCCAAGTACAAGTGACATGTTCTTCTGTAAAATTTGATTTTTATACTCATGTAATATGATGTATATTGTTCTTAAATGTTGCAAACTTTGTTACTTCATGTTCATGTGATTGATTATATGTGATAAATGGGGAGACAGGAGGGGGTGCAGATGGTTGGTGGTTATTTCTATGTGCAATATTAGTAGGGTTATAAAGGCATATGCACTTATGTTATTGTCCATCTATGTGTTTGATACACCTTAACAAATATGACTCGATCAAGTTGAGGTATAAGTGGAAGTGGAGTTATATGGAACTAAAGGGAAATATGATTAAGTAGAGAAATAATGGAAGTGGAGTTATAAGGGGTTGAGGGAAAACATATACAAGTGGAGTTATAAGTGGAATTGGAGGAATAAGGAGGCATAGGGGAAGTATGAAATGTTCTAATATGAATGTTGAATGTTATGTTCATGTGATGTTATTTCATTTTGATATATTGTTCACATGAAGGTTATATCGCTACTCCTTACTTGCACTTTTTGATAATACCGATAGAATACTCAATACTAATTTCAGTATTATGTAACCACATTGTCATTATGTTAATTTGCTCCTAGCATGTTTAACGATTCATATGTGATTTACTTTAATGTGAATTAGTTATATACAAATTGAAGTTTGTAGTAGGATTCGAGTAACCTATCAAGCTTGTGTTGCTCATGCCTACTTTGTTTATATGTACATTTCAGGAAAATGTAAAACTCCCATTGAGTATATAGAGTTGAGATTACTTGGGGAATAGTGGTGATAGATATGCTTACTTTATAGTGAATTATTTTGTGAGTTGGAGTGATTGGAGATTGTTGGATGAATTATACTATGATATGATGTATGTATTATTTTGAAAGTGAATATGTGGATGTTTCATTTACTAGTCATTTGATGTGATAGAAGGGCTCTATGTTTATGATTGATGAAGCAAATAAACATGTTTAAGAACATTCCTACTAAACTAGATCTTAGGTTTTGTACTATCATCTATATGACATGATGTGACCTATCTATCATATGAGTTTTTTCGTGTTGGGTCATGACATTATAGTTGAGCAATGGTGGTTGACAAACCGTAGGTAGGCGACATGTGGTGAATGGATCTAGTTGGGTGATGGTGGCCGCAGGACCTAGTTAGGCGATAGTGTTCGAAGGAACATAACCATGAGATGATGGTCTAATAAATGTAATCAAGCAATGGTGGTTGAATGAATATAGTCAAGCGACAATTATCAAAAGATTGTAGTTGGACGATGGTGGTAGGAAAACTATAGTCTGAAAGTAGTGCTTTGAGGATCGTACCACGATGATGGTGGTAGGAGAGTTGTAGTTGAGGATGGTGGTCAGAGAACAACAATTGGGTGATGGTGGAACGATGATGTTAGTTTAATGGGAATGATTAGTTGATGGTTTGATGACGGTGGTGTAATAGCCCGTATGTTGACTCTGCCATAGCATTGTATAAATCACAAATTGTCTTCGCCATAGCATTGTTATTGTATTATGTTTCTTTTTATTTTAGTTATTCTTTTATACTCATGACTGAATAGTTTTGTATGATTATATAGAATCTGAGTAGTGTATATGATTTTTAGAAAATGAATATATATGTATATATAGATGTTTTGAATTATAGAATTATTTTTTCTATTTATTTCTAATAAATAAAAATTAGTTAGCCCCCCGCCCTTCTTATAAAGAGTGAAGCTCATTTAATCTAAGGTTTCGTTTGAGACAATTTTCTCATTGCTTTGTAAAGCTACTATAGAGAAAATAACTTTTAAATATTGTTGTTATACAAAGAAGCTTTTAGTGCAATTTTTTTTTAAAGCAGTGGTAAAATAAAAATTAAAATTACAGTCTAAAAAGCAAAGCAATAAGAGTTGCCCCAAAGGAATCCTAAATTATACTCCCATTTTCATGTCTAGCATGGTCAAAAGAAGTGACTTATAGGTTCTAACAACTTAAAAAGGAAAGCACTAAATCTTTATTATCTCCTATATTCCTATCAAATTAACTTCAATATGGGATATGTAGATGATCCTTCATTATGGGTGGAAAAAGTATGCTTTCAAATCAGAGGGGCCGAAAGAATTTACTCAAAACTTCAATAATACATATATTTGCAAGAGAATTTAAGGGTAATATTTTTATATTAAAGAATAGTAATCTTTCCATGGTTCAACTATTATTTTTCTACTGTAGCTAACAATTTTCATGAATATTTGTTCATTTGATCAAAACTCTCTTTTACTCATTAGAAAATCGACATTGTTGTACATTTTGTTTTGTGAATTGACAAAAAAATATAAACTTTTAAGTGTTAAAAGTGATTATGCATCTTCTATTTTTCAACTTTGAGAGAATTTTAGAGTTCAAACCATCTATTTATTAATTTTTCTTGCTTTCTTCATGTCATATTAATATTTGTTCAGGTCAATTAGCAAAAATATCAAACACTACATTTCTTTCTTATTTTCCCTAGTTGGGAGATTATAATAAAATTTGCTTACTATTTTGCAAAGCCGCGGTAGAGAAAATAACTTTTTAAAACTGTTGTAGAAAATATCTTCCTAGTGCAAAAACTTTATGAAAACATTGAAAAATATAGTGACCAAATAAAAATTATGATTATGATCTAAGGATCAAAGTAATAAGAAAGATGTCCCTTATTTGGGACTGCTTTTTGATTGCTTTTATGGTAATAAACGTTAGTAAAAATAAAATATTTGGAAGACAATGTTATCACACCAATTTCAAAATTTTGTCTTTTAAAAAGATTTTTTTGGAAAAATATTTTTAAACAGTGGCTATGAAATGAGCTTTTTAAAAGTAAATCATAATAAAAAGTTTAAATTGCCCCAAATAAAATATTAATCAAAGTATAAATTGTAAATCATAGTTTTATTCTATAAAATTCTCCATGTCAAAGTTCTTTCATTTAAATTTTGATGATATGCCATATTACTCATTTTTTAAGTAGAACAAATTAATTCAAACAACTCAAAATTGATTACTATAGAGGCTTCCATAGTTTTGAATGGGCCAATTTCAAGCTAAAGTTGGATCAACTCATACATCATTTGCGATAGTTTTCTTAATATTTTGTAAAGTTACGATAGAAAAAGTAAAATTTTAAAGCTATTATAGAAAGTAGCTTTCTAGTACAATTTTTTTTTAAACAACAAAAAAAAAGCTATTAAATAAAAATTGTGATTGTACTCTAAAAAATAAAGCAGTAAGAAAGTTATTCCAAACAAAATCTCATTCTCAACCCCAAATTCTATTGAAGAGATCATCATATTTGAGAAATTTGAACTATTGAAACAATTGAATAACAATGATGAAATACTTCAAGGGTAGGAACTATTTGATTAAGGTTTCCTTAGGTTGGCTAGAGAAAAATGGAATGTAGTATAAAAGTAATGCAATAGGTTTAAAATACTTGAAATTATTTCGATGAATATAAAATATGTACGTGTGATTATTATTTTTTCTTTTAACTTGAAGTGAAATGTATGCAGTAAAAAATCAAGAAGGTGGCGTCTTATAACTGACGAAAGGTTGGAGTGACTGTTGGCAATGGCTAGTGATGCAAATAGGCTTACGAGCCAAACCAAGTTGAGCTTGAGCTCAAACTCCTGATTCAATCAACTCAGCTTGTGATCTCATTAACGAGTCAAACCAACTCAACTCACTTACACCCCTATTTTCAAATACATCAAAATTACACTAAAAAGCTCATTCCAAATACACCAAATTAAACTTCATGTTTTTTTTTTTCAAATCAAATATCAATATTTTCAAAACCCTGCTTCTCAAATCCTTTACATCCCTCTTACTTCAAACCAAACAATCCATAAGTGAAGAGTTAATGCTAAATAATTATACATGCCATTAAATATTATATGTTTGGCTTTAAGTTAATCCATTGATATTTCATACATAAATAAAAAGAAGCTATAATCAGATAGAATGTTACATTTCAGCATTAGATGATATAGAAATCATTTATCCACAAACTAAAGCTTTGTTTGGGATGGCTTTCTTATTGCTTCTTAAAATAACTTTTTAATACAAAAAATTTAATTTTTATACTATAAAGCTGCTTTAAAAAGCAATAAGAAAACTTCCCCAAACAAAACCTAGAAGGCCCTTTGGGACAACTTTCAACCAGCTATGCTTCTTAAATCATAGCCATGATATTACAAAATTCATTGAAAATGAAGTCGTCAAAAATAAAATATGTGCATAAGGGCAAATTATTGCATCCGGTCACCGGACGCGGATAATAGGTTCGGATATTCAATAAAAACTTGCCACGTCACCAGCGTCTTAGTTGCGCTTTAAGTGCGCTTTACTTTTGCTTTCCTGTGCTTTTGACTGCACTTTTGACTGCACTTTACATGCCCTTTACCTACGCTTTTGATATTAATATCCGGACCTATCTCGGCGTCCGATGACCGGATGCAATAATTTGCCGTGCAGAAGATGCTGTTAGGCTCATATTATCCTAATCTGTACATTACACAAGCTATATTCCAACATACTAATGAAGATTAAGCATACACAGCTGAGGAGATCAAGCATCAAATAACTTCTCAAACAAGATGTTCAAAAATAGGAAATAAGGTTTCGTTTCGGACGACCTTCTTACTGTTTCTTAAAGCAGCTTTTTAATACTAAAAAACTGCTTTAAGAAGCAATAAGAAAGCTATCCCAAACAAAGTCTACATAGTCATTAGCTTTTAAGAAGAAGCACTGGCATGCTGAAACTATTCAATAAAGTTGCTAAAAATCTCAATTGGAAGAGGCATGATTCATTAGGAAAACCAGCAAAAATAAATAAAAAAGAAAATTTTCAGACTTGTTAAATATTGTAAGCAGGAACAGAAGAGAAATACAATAATAGTTCATCAATTCATCAAGTGAAGAAAATAGCACTTTCATCCACAGTCAAAACAAACAGTAAATTTAACCACAAAATGAGGATTCCTCTCGCTCAACATCTTCTAAGTAGTTTGTGGCTCTCCTTTCTCATGCATATCTCCTCCTAGGGCTCCTTGATCTGTCAGAAAAGAGAAAAGAGGGTGTCACAGCTCCGTCAGACTAACAAAATAGCATCAAAGGGTCTCCATGGCAGAATGAAAATGGTCAAAACAGTAAATTCTATGTGAACTTATGAAGATTATTTCATTACCAACAACAACAACATCAAGCATTTGTCAAACTACGTGGGGTCGGCTACATGAATCCATTTTCTCTATTGTGTATTGTTAAGAGTTAAATTCTCATTTAAATTTAATAAATAAAGATCATTTATAATATTTTCTAACAAAATTTTTTAGGTCTACCTCTAACTTTCTTAACATAAGTCAAATCTAATATCTCTACTTTCCTAACCGGGTCATCGGAAGGCCGCCGTTTTATGTGACCAAATCATCTAAGGTGACTCTCTCTAATCTTATCTTCCACTGACGCTACTCCAAACTTTTCACGTATGTGCTCATTTTGTATCCTATCTCTAAGGGTGAATCCACTCAGTCCAAACAAGATTAGAGATTAAGGGTCAGAATTGTACAGAACTCAATCTCGTAAGTGGAACAATCAAAACTCTGAATAAAGAAAAGAAGAATGTATTTTTTTTATCTGATCAATTGAAATCTCAGTAATGGACCGGAACAAGACCTTTCACTGTAAAAATTACTAAACCAAGCTTGTTCGTTTGCTGACAAATGCTAACCCAAAATCTGACCTTAAACTCTGTTTTCCTTTTTAACAATCTTAAGTTCTCTCACATGTCAAATCACCTCCTCTTAAGAGTTTCTGGTAGCCTCCTTGTTCTTCTCACTTGTAAATCAAGGAAAGTTCGTAAGTTCTAATGCATTTTTTGGGATTCTAGAAATACTAATTTATGTTTCTAAAATTATTATTCACTTGAAATTGAAGCTATCACATTTGTGAAACTCCTTAAGTAAAAAAAAGATAAATTCTTAAACATCGAGGCGCCTTTTGGTGTAATGGCTAGAATTTTCATAAAAAACTCAGTAATTAAGCGTGCTCTTTGATCAAAACGGACAATATCTCAATAGTTAAGAGTTTGGACTATTACAGTATATTAGTGATTAAACCAATTTTTTTACCTAAAAGCTTACTCCTAAGTGTTGAGGGCCAACCATTAATCATTTTCTAGCTAAATATTTTTAACTATTTGGTTGGGCATTTATAAGCAACATTCTTATAAGACTTGATAAGATTGGCAATCACCCAATCGAAATATGGTACTTAGACAAGCTTAAATCAAAGTCCCAAATTTTCATGTAGTAAAGTAATTTTGATTTTATGCTCTGTCAATCACTGCCACTCTTAACTATGATTTGATTATGTCTGGAACGCCACTTGCAAATTACATCTAGCCAACGATATATCTCACAACAACCAGGTTAACTTGTAGCTTATCACTACCAGGCTTGACAGCCAAACCAACTCTTGCTCACTTCTTAACACAACTTAGTTAGGGCATAGCTCATGCTTCTAAGGAATGTGATAGTGTTAGAAATATTATTTCTACATTTCCACATAAATTTTAAATATGGCAATCAATCTTAACATAAACTCCCAAACTTTCTTATCTAATAGTGGGACTGGCAATGAGGGTTTTAAAACTAAAAGTGTAGTATAATAACAATATAAAATAGAATAATTGTCCATGAATATGTGGTCATTATGCCTCACCAGAAAAAAAAAATCTCAAATTATCGCTATATTAAAAAAAAAAAACTTTTTTTATTCAACCCACAATTATTCATGTCTTATCAAATTATTACTTCCCGCTATTACTTTATGACTTTTTTCATTGAATCGGGCCCAAAAATAAAATCATGAAAGTTAAACGTCATGTACTACTAACAACAACCATAATGTTAATGGAATAAGAAAGTGAAACTGAAAGAAAATAAGTAAGAGGAAGTAAATCTCACATAAAATTAAGAATAAAAAAAATGAAAAAAAAAGGTAGCTCAACGGTGGGAAAAAAGAAGGAAAAGAAAATAATAAAGACAAAGCAAGGAAAAAGTTTTAAATGTTTTAGAAGGGCATTTGATGTAGAAAACAAGTAAAACAAAATCAATCATCCTTGCATGAGAAAAGATATAATTTCCTAAAATACGATTACAGAAAGCACAAAATTTGTGGAGAAAAAGAAATGCCTAATGAAGAGACCCAAGGGATTAAAAGCAGATAACTTAGGTAAAAGAAAACCAAAATGACATGATTAGAAAAAGGAGGATCATTTCTATTAATAATATCTACTTAAAAGACTTTCTCTAATTTTGGCAGGAGTGATAGTTTAGTAATTAGATGAACAAGTAGTTAATAGATGCTTTCCTATAAATACTAAATTGTTATGTTAGGAGTGTTTTTGGAAAGCTAGTTTCAGATTTTATCCTGAGAATTGGGGAAGGATTTACCGGCTCTAGGGGCATCAACCAACTTGGGAAATCAGATCCTTATCACCAACAATCAATGAGGGTTAACTACCCACCTTCTTGAATCAAGATAAACACCTCTATCCTTTGCTTTTTTCCAAATTTTCGGATTCAGCTATGCAGATTTTGCTTCAATGTACAGTTGATCTACCTAATTTCTTGTTAGTTTCTTTGGCCCATATTATCGGTGACACAAAATAAACTCATAATATATGCTTATATAAACAATATAGCCATTTTCAACATAGCATTCAAAGACTCTCGAATGGAATGCTTTTTATTTGAAATTAGCAACTTTCCAAGCGAAAGAAGCATTTGATTGTTAGGTTATAAGAAGTCACAACCTGATCCAGTAGGCTCTCAAGAAACTTGCAAAATTACCACTTAAATGTTAGGAGTGCAATTTTTTAAAAAGAAGAGACTAATTTGCAAAGTAATAATTTTAATTTTAAAGAAGATGATCAAGAATAGAAATAGAAACTTCAAAGGGAATGAATCAAAGAATCTAAGGGTATATTTTAATAGTGATAGGCATTGATATATATACCGTATTATCCAATAATTACCAATACATAAGTTCTTCTTATCAATTAAGAATACAAATAGACCTTCAATGTTCGTTAGTAGGATCGATAAAACTTGTTCGCGAACATGTTTGTTTAAAGCTCGATAAGCACGAAACAAATTGAACATGAACCGAACATGAACCAAACATGAACATCCATCAACTTAAATGGACCAAGCTTGAACATGAACAATAAAACTCAAATCTAGCTCGAATGAACATGAACAAAATGATAATAAACGAAAATAAAAAAGAACAAGCACATGCTCGGCTCGGTTCGTTTACAGCCCTATATATAAGTTTCTTTCATAAATACCTACAATTCTCTCCTCTCCTATCCGTTGGCATGCCTTTCACGGTATAAGTCAGGATTGAGAATGATATTGTCGATGAATCTATATAACTTGAGTCTACAACTATGAGGAGACATAAAACTCTAGCGGCTAAGATGGCAACACCAACACTGACAACGCATCATATGCAGCATCAACCATCCAAACAAAAGAGAAAACTACTAGGACAACAAAACCTACATAAGAGAAACCATTAATAAGCGAAAAGGAAAAAAATGAAAACCTTCCCTTCAAGATGGAGGAAAAGTGAGTTGCTATACTTTAAGGGCACCATCCAAGTTGGGTAATTGATAATTAGTTCAAGCTTCAAGAAATGTACTTAGTAGTTTATAATTATCTTAAGAGAAACAAATTGCATTTGCTCATTTAAGTAGTCCCATAAGCTTTAGTGTGGTAGAATTCATAGTAAAAAAAACTACGATCTATTAGCCAAGGCCTAATTAGAGTTCAAATTAGAGTTAAAAGTTCGCTTCTATCCTATTGAATACAAAGAAAAGTGAAACCAATATCAAATTTTAAAGCAAGATAACAGGCAAAATATACAAGAATACAAGGTGGAATTTCAAAGGCAAACAGATTCTTTTAAAATTATATTTTATGAGATTTTTGTATTCATGAAAATTCATAAAAGCTTCCATGCATAATCGCAGAAGTTTCATCCAATTGTTGATGGCCTTTACGTTGGTACAAAAGCTATTGGAGTTGAGAAAATAAAATACCTCTTTCCATCAGACAAAATCTCATCTTGTTATTACAAAGAAAGAAGAGATTAAAGATCCAAGTATAAAGGAACACGACAACAGAACACAGCATTGCGATTGCAAAAAGCCAAGACATAAACTTTAGGATTGCTGGAAAAATATACCAATTAAACAGGAGTCATTGGGAGAGGTAACAAAGGCAAATCATAAAATGGTCGATGTTGCATGCACGTGTTAATAAAGACTCCTCAAGCTCTAGGAACAATTCGCCATCAACTATGCTATTTTGGATCCAAATATTGATGAACTATCTCTCTAAAGTTTTGGTTGAGAAACTTGGGCTAGTCACTACAAGACATTCAAAACCATTCCTCCATTTTTATTTCAAAATGGTGATATTTGTCAGGTACGAAGCAATGTGCTCTTTAGGTTGACTTTTTTTAAGGATTTCATTGATAAAATAGCCCGTGAAATTATACTATTAGATGTATATCATGTAATATTGAGCAATCCATGAAAAGAGAATAAGGATACTATCTTCTTTAGAGGACATCAAAAGTTGGTGCTTTTAAAGGGAGGGAAAAAATATAGAGTGAGTTGGTCAATCATTCCACCTTCAAAACAAGATCATCAAACTACAGGATCCTAACAAGGGGTCAGATGATGGAAACTGATATATACCTTCCTTCTTAGAAGCCATAGGTTTCAAGAAGGAAGAAAAAAATGAACAAATCAAAGAGATAAAGAGAGGAGCGCTCATCCTCTTAAAAATTAATTTGCATAACCAAAATTAAAATGGAAAGCTATGATCTAGGAGGTTCTCAATAAATTTGAAAAACTAACACGAAAAGGTTAAAAGTGAAGCTATTGAAATAGGAGAACACTAAATTGCAAATTGGCAATTAAAATGCATAGAGGGAGAGGAATAGTCAACAATAAAGGAAAGAAAATTTAAGTGGGATGAATCAAGGAATCTTCTAAAATACTTGTCACAAAATCTCCCTCTCTTTTCAAGAGGGTAAGCCCCAAAGAAGAGAATTAAGGGATTATTATTACTATCTTTCCCAATAAACTATCAACTAACAATTACTTCATGCCTATGATTTCTCTCCCACACATTTCATCATAAGATTCATTTCAACTATGTTGGTAGGCTTTATGAATCATTCTCCACCAACCATTTCAGCTGCATGTAATATTAAATTCCAACTCTATTTTATAGGAATCTACTACTAAACTTTTAGCCATACTACTTTTAGTCTAACCCTTATGTTATTCCTTCCACATTTAACTCTTTACCAATCCTAATCTAAGAAGTAAAAAAGAAATTTAATCTTCAAGCTAAACAACAAATATCATGCAAAAATCATAAGGAAAATACAAGATATATAAAAAATATGAAAGCTACAAATATACATATGCACACCTCCGCCTCATCGGCCTGCGCATGATAGGACCATTGCTAAACGCCCAATCAACATAAATAGTTTGAGTAAAGAGCTCAGTTCCATTTAATGCATTAATTGCACTTTTTGCCTCCTCATATTTCTCATATTCAATCAGAGCATAACCCTGCAAAGAAAACATTCAAATTTGATGAGAATCATTTCTAAATAATTCAAAGATTAAAAATGAAACAACTATTGAAAGCCATAAGATAACTATATGTGTAATTGACTATTTACACATCCAAAATAGTTCAAACAACTGAATCGCATGAAATTAATGTATTCTATTGAATAGCAAGTTGATAATTAAAGCTTGAAGGTCAAAAAACACATTGAGATGATTTTTAGATATTGTCATACAAAGAAGAGCTATGCAACCATAAGGCAAACGGTTTTAGTTAGTTTGGATAGTTGAGATGAGAGGTGGCATACATAAGGATTGAAAAGGAAGCTTTACAAAAAGATGGTAAAGGAGGAATTAAAAGCAAAATGATATTTCAAAAGAAATTCATGCTGAATAAAATTATCAAAACTGACAAAAAAAATGACAGATAACAAATAGCATTTCAAGAACAAAAATCATTGATGATCATCATCATTATTAGCTTTATTCCAATCATCAAGAGTCGGCTTTACAAATCATCATTTTTTATTTGTTCATGCTTAGTGTTGCATATGGTATTAAATCTATTATTCACAAATCATTTTCAACAAAACCCTCTCCATGTTACCTTAGGTCTAAATCTTTATTTTTCTAACCCTTCGACACAAATTTTATCTAACCATCTAAATGACATTTTCTATCATTTGTTAATTGTTATACACTTACATACCACATAATTCTATTTTCAATAATCATATCTTTAAAGTCATTTTAAAGATTTATCTACAACTTAGAGTTAAATTTATGAATCATCATTTTTCATTCATTGAAGTCGTGCAGAGTTTGAGGTACTAAACAAATTCTTCAAAATTCATTTTGAACTTCTATGTTACCTTAGGTCAACCATTTCTTCTCCCCAATCCTTTGACACAACTTTTATCAACCATCTAATGGATGCATTTTCAATTCATCATCATACATGTCCAAACTACCTAAGTTGATTTTTAAATTATTTTATCTTCAATAAAGGTCACTCTAAGTATTCCTCTATTATAATCACATTAATTTCTACTTCCTAATTTTGTAACGCATCCATCTTAACATGCAAAATTTCATTAATCTCAACTTATCTATCAACTAATTTTTAATTATTGAATGCTTGGATCCATACAACATCGCCAACCTAATTGCAGTTTTATAAATTTTATCTTTAAATCTCCAAGATATCCTCTTATCATATAATACTCTTGAAACGCTTTTTCATTTAACCACCTGTAACTTGATAATATTATTTCCTCATCTATATCCTCATTATTCTAAATAATGAACACATACAATATAAACCTATAGTATATTGCTAGAAAAAAAAATAACAATAAAAATATAAACATAATACAATTGCCACTTGTGGCTATGCATGGCATCATTACACTCGAAAGCATAATTAGGACAATAACACTATCAAACCTTAAGAATTTATAAATAAAAGATAGTTCTCAAAATGATAAGTAAAAACAATAAAGATTTTACTGATGCATAAGCTCCAATCAATCTTTTGATTCCATGTGACATTCTTTTAGTCTTATCTTCTATATTTGGTTACGTAAACCTTTGTACTGTACCCTCTTTCTTCTAGATATTAAGAATAAATTCTTCTTTGGATATTTTCATAATCATTGATGCGCTAGCGCCTAAGGTGCATCTCAAAAGGTTGGAGAGTTGGAGCAAATTGGCATCTCCTATGCTTTCACATAGAAATCTCAAAATGAGTGCTTTTCTCACCATAGGCAATCAGGAAAAAAATTTACTTTAAAAAGGAAAAGCCATTATATTACCATGATAATAAATAGAATAATATTTAATTTCTATTGATAAACTGTGATGACTTCTACGCTCCTTATAAAAATATTCTAAGACAATTTATTTCTCATCTATAACTTCACTTTATAAAATATTATTTTATAATGCAAATCTTTCAAAATTTTAAATGCTAAATATCATGCATTTTGTTTTGAATGTTTTATTTATGACAAAGTTTTAAGCTATAAAAAAAATGCCTAAGCTATTCTATAATATAATTTTTATAGAGCTGGCACTTCATTCAATAACACTGAGTTCCGGACTCATTTATTCCCTTGGACAATATTGGCCCTTGGCATCTTATGAATGACTAATATACTTTCGAGATACATAAATTTTCTTTTCCTTAATATATACCAAATTAATTTTCCTAGAACTCGACACGTGCCTTCTCAAGGACAAAAATACTCATATGAAGGTCTTTTGTTTTCTCACCATACTTTTCATTAATTGACTAGTAAAAAAAACATCAATCGTAAATAAATGATTGATACAATACCAAAATGATTATCTAATAGCAATACCATTTTAAAACATTTATATTTCATCACTCACTCCCAAAGATTCATTATATGATGTATATATTTGACTACCTATAATTATTATAGCCTTAAATTTTATTTGTTCATGAATGTTCGAACCAAATTGATGTTTCCCCAATCATTTGTCATCATTTTAGCCTTTAAATTTCCATTGAAAAAATATATTAACCAAATAAATCCCATCACCTAAAATTCTCCAAATCTCAATTGAGATCTTCCTTTGAACAAAAGTTTTACTTTCACGCATATTCTTCCAACCTAACTTCACTTCAATTTTGGAAATAATCTATAATATAACTTATTCTTGTGTGCATTATGCTTTCAAAAAAATTTAAAAAAAAAAAAAACTTTCTTGAAGTCCAATTTAATAATTTTTTGAAATACCATTTTCATATCATTAATTTTACAATATGTACTAGTAAAATGATTAAACTTTTCACACCAACTTTATCTTTAGCTCTAATTTAATCCTCTACTTGACCATATGAAGTTAGAATCTACATAGGTATGAGAATAGGTTGACCACTTTCCCTCTTCCTCGTTGAACTTTAATGTCCACAAAAACAACAAAATAAACAAACCATTTACACCAAAATCAACCCCCCCCCTCCTTTTCCAACACCCTCTTCCTAACACATAGTGGAAGTAGGGCGTAAACACAACGATTATAATGGCCTACATGTAAAACTTCTATAGTCATGAATTCTAAGTTTGTAACAATTCATGGATCATTTTTAACCATGCACAAGGTGACATAAAGCACACACTCCTATAGTTGATGTAAAATAAAAGGGTGTTCAGGACAAAGCATAATCATATTATAAACATGCTAATCACATGTGGTATAAAATGATAATCTAAAGGCATCACAGAAGACATCATCATGCATTAATGAGTCAATAGAAACCACAAACAAACTCAGGGTCAGGGAGAAAAACATAAGGTTCATAACATAATGGCATATTAATTAGGTCATTATAAAATGTAAACTTATGTTTAAAGTGACCAATAATGACCTAATAGAAATTCTAACATAAAAAAAATATAACAATTGAATGACACAAAACAATAAACATAGTCATGTTCAAGCTCGACTCAATTTTGATTAAAAAAACAAAATAGCTTAGGTAATGCGAAGCTTGGCGCAGCTAGGCTCTAGTATTTAATACATTTATAAGTAACAAACAATACAAATGGAAAAAAGCATTATTTTTTTGTTTAATGGAAAAAAAAACATAATGAAAACACTAAGGTTACAAAGAAAGATAGTAGGACAACGTAATAACATTATCAAATTGCCTATGAAAGCAGTGAACAATTAATTCTCCAGTACTTTAAAGGTGCAGCCCAACTCACCTTGACATAACCAGTACGACGATCAAGATTCAGATGCAAATTCTTGACCTGACCAAACTCACGAAAGGAATTATGAAGATCTTCTTCTTGTGCTTCTTCATGAACTCCAGTAACCAACACAATCCAACCCTCTATGGCTGAGACAATATGAACCACAACATAGTAAGAGTATACAATAGCATCAAATGAATATGAAGCTTGAAGGAATGATGCTAAAAAACAGGCAATACAATTTTATTGATGAATTTATAAAACGACACAACCCAAAGAGAAACATTTATACAATAATATTGTAAATGAACTTGAAGGTTGAGACCTATAAACATAAAATCACATATTTTGACTGCATGCCACAGCTGACAACCCAATTAGCTTCGTTTTGAAACAAAAGAAACAAAGAGAATATTCATAAGAAGATGAACATATTGCTTCTCATTAATAGTAGTCTCATGCTTGGATCTGCATCAGTTAAAATTTATATATTTGCTTAGTCAAAAGCAAACCCTTCATGCATACTTCATCAACAATATCAAGTACACATAAGATTATACAGCTTACCAATATGCTTCTGAGTATCCTGCTCCAAAGAGGGGGGTAAAAACAAAATACAGTACTAATAGGAATGAAACTTCATGGCTAAAAGGGCTTTGTACATTGTTTTCTTAATAATCAGCGGTGCATTATGCAATCCATTGCTCACACAACATTCTTTTTAATGTGAAATAACTTTCAAATAGCTCAAAAGGAACTCCTTGCATCGATGCCCTTTGATATGCAAGTACACTTATAATTAACCTAGTTCATGAGATAGATACACGAACCAGAAAAGAATATATATATATATATATATATATATATATAACCTAGTCCCAGCATCGGGTGATCTGTGTGAATGATTGGTATGATACACAAGAAGTATGGTTTATTACAAAGAACAATGCAACAATCGTTTCTGCAAAAGAAACCAGCATCTAGACTAATTTCATAGCTTTTATCAAGATTGATAAAGAAGCTAGAGCTTGCAAGGGGTAGCAAAATGGGTTTCGGCCTAGGTTACACCATTCTAGTCAAAAAAAAGGAACCATGAGACACAATTTCAGGTAGAACTCGATGCCATTTACACATGCAAGCTAAACTTCGAGGATAAAAATGCCAATCAGATTTCAATTCAGCTGCTTCTGGGCAATTTGTATGCTAATTAACACCTTTGAACTGCAAGGAGGAGGAAAAGGCTGCTTATTGCCCTAGGATAATAAAATTATTAACACCTTATATCAAATGGCGTGAGGTGATTCTTATCATTTCAGTCGAAGGATTCCTCGCAAAGATAAAACAAAGCCCTAACAAACCCAGTAATACCAAAATAGCAAGGCGTACAGCCAACAAAGCCCACTAAAGTCCTCCCAAACCCTAGAAATGCTTTAACAGAATGTCCAGCAACAAGCACACGCACACGCACACGATAAATACCAAGAAAATGCAAAGAAACAAGCACGAATTGGACACTGCATAATAATAGCCAACTCGAATGAGAACAAGTCGAAGAAAGGACCAAGCAAACTCACATCGCTGCGGGCCAGGTCCGCCGCCAGAGCCAAGGGATTCGAAATCCTTGGCGGCGAACCGACGGGTGCGTTCGGCCTCAGCCTCGGCCTCTCTGAACCCTCGCCCCTTGGTCTTCCTTGGCACGCCGGACGAGTCTCCAGCGCCGCCAGTAATAGCAGACCTCAGACGCGGGGCAGGCGGCGCCGCCGGCGAGGCCTCCGCCTCGATTGCGCCGTCCTCGTCCATGAGATCATCCTCGTCGGGCTCGAAATCCACCGCCTCGTATGATGGGTTCGCGGCCATGGGAGGAGAGTCGGGTGGCGGCGCTTTCCTGCTCGATTCTAGGCACCGGAAAAAGGTAAGAAGCGTGCGAGTGGTGCGCTAAGAAGCGTGCGACTCAACTCTCAAGTCCGTTTTCAATGAACAATTATTACGTGGACGTTGTGGTCAAATCGCTCCAAAAAATGAAAAATATCGAGCAAATACCGAGCAATACCAAACAATAACGAGGAATATCAGCACGTGAAGACCCAATACCGAGTTATACTGAGCTATACCGAGCAATACCGAGTTGTACCGACACTCGGTATTGATCTTCACAAAACGGTATTTCTCGTTATTATCAAATAATACCTAGCAATACCGAGCAAATACCGAATTTTTTAGCGGGATTTTTTCTCCGACCGGACGTTCCTCTACGTCCTTATACCGGACCTAATAAATATTCGTTTTCAATAGCTCGTTGCTTGAAATGAACTTGACAAAATTTTTAGCTTCATAAATTATTTGAATATTCACAAATATTTCATAGTTTTTTTTTAAAATGCAATTGAATAAATAATATTTAAATTTAGAGGATTTATATAAATATCCATAAAAAATTTCTCATTTGCACCTTTCACTCTTAAACTTCATTATTTATATCATCTAGTTGGACATCAAAGCCCTGTATTAGCTACTCATACCCACACTTACCCATGCAACCACCCATACCCAATGGGTATGTGTGCGCTCATGGCCTTGTGGGTGGATATGGATGGGTACGCAATATCGAAGAATAAATCGATTTATATTGCTAATCACCGTATATTTTATATTATTGCAATCTTCACTATGTAGTGTGTAGGAGTTAATCATGCTGCGACTACAGCAAATTCTGATATGCAGTTTGAAAGTTTGCAATTATAGTAAAGGGCAACAAGCCTCAAGGCCATTAGTCTGTGGCAGACTGCGTTCAAAAAAGTATAGAAAGTGCATGTGTATCGATGGGTACGACATCTCGAAAGTCACTATGAATGGGCATGGGTGGGAGAAGCTCGTCCGAGTAAAGCATATCAGGACCCCATGTAAGGCTTTGTTGGACATTCACTCTATGTAGAGATCCTAAGAAGCCTCGCAAGAAGACGAAGTGGCGAGTTCGCAAGCATATAGGTTGAATCTCGTAGGCGGGTCAAGAAACGGTCTCAAAAACAATCTAGTTGAAGCTTGCAAGTAGGTAAAATAGAGCTCGCAGATATGTCCAGTAGTGCAGGCGACAATACCAAGAGCTTGCTAAACAAGGTTAGGGATTTTAATAGAGGTGCTATTTTTTTATTTGATGTTTTAGATGTAATATATTTAAATAGTGAGATTTATGTATGAAATATGTAAATAAGATATTTTTTAAGTGTTAGGGCATCTCCAAACGAAAAACTCAATTTTCTCTCTAAAATATAATAATACATCAAAATGCGGTAACTTATCTCGAACAGAACTCTATTTTCTAACACCAAAAAAGAATATTCCTAGTTATTCTTTCTCATACTTCATTTTCCCATCATTCTATCATTCATCGCACTGGTCCCATCTTCATGCTTGTGCATCTAGCTCGTCCTCTTGAGCATTACGCTTGCTCACACTTGGGTTAACGGGTCAGTAGCGTTTTTTTTAGCGTTTCACTGGAGCAATCAAGCGACGCTATACACTGTTGAAGTTCGGCTGAAGAACTCTTATGTATGTATCTCACTTTAAATTTTTAGTTTTTATTCATATACATATAAATATTTAAATCACTTTTAAAATATTACTGACATTAATTTTTTAAAATAGAAATACAAATTTCATATATGTTTGGATGTGATTAAGACATCAAAGTGTTATATAAGTAAATGCAATAGTTTGAGTGATAGATATGTAAATAAATAAGAGTTTTGTGGCATTTATTGCTCCTGCGAAATTACATTTGGCTCTATGTTAGTCTATTCTATAAATATGGATTTAGATATTTTTATAAAAATAAAATAATTTTATTTTATTTATTTATTTTACTCCTAAAATCATTAAATATATTATTAAAATATTTAATTTGTTTTAAAGTGCAAGGCTTTGTAGCTCTATAGTTGGGGTCATCATATATATATATATATATAATATATATATATATATATTATATATATATATATATATATATATTATTATATATTATATATATAATAGTATAAAAGTGCGGTCACAAGAAATACGGAGCTAATCAAGCTGCGCACACATCAACCAATTTATTGTATACCGTTATATATCGGGTGATGTTGCTCGTCCTAGTTGGTCTCCGAACAGTTCGATGACCACACGTGGTAATTTATCAAAATTTAGAACCCGTTAGCATTAATATGTCACATGTACTCATATAAGGCATTTAGTGCCACAATATGGATTGTACATATGAAGGACTCCAAATATTAAAAATCTCACTCCAACCTTAATTGCTCTCGTTAGAGGTGTCAATATTGGACCCGACCCAAACCCGACCCGAAAATTTCGGGTTTGGGTTGACTCGAACCCGAAACGGGTTAGGTTCGGGTTCAACAATTTGACCCGTTTCAAAAATCGGGTCGGATTCGGGTTGACTCGTTGACCCGAAAATGACTCGTTTTGACCAAAAACCCGTTTTTGACCCGGCAACCTAAAATTGACACTTTTTTGACCCGAAAAGTGAAGTTTGACCCATTTTTGGACCAAAAAACTAGTCTGACCCGGGTCATTCGGGTCGGGTCAGGTCGGGTTGACCCGGACCCGAAGCAGGTCGGTTCGGGTCCTAAAAATCGACCCGTTTGCAGAAACGAGTCGGGTTCGGGTTGACCCGAATAGTGCCTGGTCAGTTTTGAATTCGACTCGAACATGACCTGTGACCTGAAATTGACACCCCTAGCTCTTGTCATCAGCATTGTAGTGAGACATCTCCATCAATGTTAGTTATGTCCAAAACAGAACAATGGTAAGGATTGGGTTCCTATGAAATATGTGTAATTTAATAATTCCAATTCAGAATTGTCAATAAAACTTACAAGGTCTGATCTGAAAGTTTTGATTTTTTTTTAGAGTTTTATTTTTGGTTTTTATATTAGACTAAAAACACATAAAGGATAGAAACAACAAAAGGAATTAAAATTTAGGCCTGATTTGTTCTTGAGAAATTTAATTAGAACTAAATTTTGGTTTATTGAAGTATGGAATGTGGACTAATGATATGGAGAATTTGGTGGAATTTTATGGAGTTTTGCTTGGTCAAATAACAAGAGGAACAAACTTAGCCCAACAAAGATATATTTCTTGGTGGAGTCCAATAAGTAGGATTATACTTAGAATTAGAGGGAGATAATTCAAATTTATAAAATTTTATGATAGATTACACACACTATAATACAATGATAGAGACTTGCAACAAAAGAAATTTTGTATAAAATGATAGAGGGGCTGTTTGGTTGCCTGAATTAGGAGAGTAAAGTAATTAATTTACATGCATTTCGTAAATTTGGTCGTTTGGTTGGGTTTGAGCGGAAGGAAAGTAATTGCTCTGAAGCATAAGCGGTGTATTGCGACCGGCATTTCGCGTGACTTCAAAGCCCGCTCAAATTGCACGGGTTACCAAACCTCTGAAGCAAAATAATGCGAATCAGCTTCGCACGAGAGAGGAGAAAACTCGCAGAAGAGCAATACCTTCCTTTCCAGATCGTCAATTTAACGGAGGTAGGGCTTTCTTTTTCGTCTTCGCTTGTTCGCCTATTCCATTTTCTCTGCTCACTCAATCTCATTGGAATGGTCGGCTACCAAGTTTTCTAACCCTTTGGAATTCACTCCAAAACGTGTAAGCACATCAATAGTCTCTTCATTTCAATCCAAAGGAGTTTGTATAAAACTAAATTCTAATGAAAAGACACAGCTCTTCGTTCAAACTTAAAATAAGAGAGAAATAAAAGATGAATGATGGGCCAGTCCCCCTTTATTAAAGATTTTTTCGTATGATAATTTTGAAAAGCAGCAATTTTAATTAAATCAAAATTTTATTTTAGCATCTAAAAACCGTAGGGGAACTCTTGTTGGTCAACTAAACCACCACCCAGCCCCCAACCACCATCGGACTCCCGCCGATCTCCACCAAACTTCCACAGACCACTGTCGGACCTTTATCATACTTCGTCGGACTTCAGCTGATCACCGTCGGACCTTTGCCGACCTCCTCCGGACGCCCGCTTGACTACCGCATGGTCGTGGATTGCCATTGGACTAACACCCTATCGTTGAGCAACGTCAAACCACCACTCGGCCACCGATCGTCGTTGAACCACCGCTTGACCGTCAAAACCAAGCGGACAACCATCCGGTCACCAACCACTACATGAACACCAATTGGATGCCGATCTTCGTTGGACTACGGCCCGACCATCATCAGACCACATCATTGCTGCCAAATGCCATTGGACCACCGCCATACCTCCGTCTGTTTGTTGGTTCATCGCCCGACCTCTAACCTCCACCAGACTTCCATCCGATCGACGTCGAACTTCCTCTCTGGCGCCAATAGCCGCTAGACTTCCACTCCGTCGTCATCAAACTTCCGCCCGACCACTGTTAGACTTCTGCCCAACTATCTAAACTATTGTAATTGCATCACCTTTAAGTTAAGGAATGGTGCAACATTTGTAATTTACTCAAATTTAGTTGATTGTTTTCATCTAGGTCATGCCTCGTTATTTTCCACTTTTTGGGTTTTCCACGTAAAAAAAATTATGGTGTTTTTTTTTTGCTCTCTCCAATAATTTATTTGTGTGGATATACATACATCTTTAGGACGAAAAGTTGACCCGGTCGGATTCGGGTCCGGAAATCTGACCCGTTTTTAAAAACAGGTCGGGTTGATCCGAACAGTGCCGGGTCAGTTCCGAGTTCGACCCGAACCCGACCCCCTGACCCGAATTGACACCCATAATGTTGATGCAATTGCCTAATGACCTTAGTATTTTAAAACTTTTAAGGGAGGCATCACAAGACCAACACATATGAAGGAATGTACATATAAGAATCTCATTTTAAACTTGTTCTAATTTGATTCAAACAAAGATTCAAATTTGAATGAATTTGAACAAAATTTATTCACAATGCACCTCACTAAGTAGTCTACATATACAAAAGACGGTAATTTAGTCTAATAAGCCTATTTTATTAAAAAAAATATAAAAGGCATACTAAAATAAAGTTATTTCATATACTAAAATAAAAATGATTAATAAAAGTTATTGATATTCTTCTTAATATATTTAATTTAAGTTAAATGTAATTATACTTATTATTAAAATTAATTGTATTTTAATTTATTTTAAACCTAATCAAATTAATGTTAAATTTGGTTGAGTTTGATTTAAATAAAACTTTGATCCATTTTAATTTTATTATTTTTAAATAACTTTTATTTGATTTAATTAATTTACAAATTAAATCATTCTATTCAATCAAATCCCTCCAATTAAATTTTTATTCTTTCATTTTATTTTTTTTCGATTAGCGTAATATATATTTTCTTGATTTTTTAATTTTTCTCTAAAAGTATATAGTTTTTTTTTATTTCATCTTAATCTATAAAATTTATTTGATTCATTCGAAGATTTAGATCTATTTATGATTTTTAATTTTTAATTTTTTTGTTATTAATACAATATTTATTTTTTAAAACAAGTCAAATAAAATAATAAAACTATATTTATTTTTTTAATGTTAAACCATTTAATTCATGTAAATAAATAAGTGACATGAAAATTATTATGTGCCGAGTCCGGATTGGGACTCTAATCAGAATAGGCCAATTAATTTATTTTGTACTCATACTATGTACAAAATAAATAGAGTCTATGTATAGGCGACGCGAACTACCCTGATTAGAGTCTGAATGCATGTTGCGTCCGGACTCCGTATGTAATAATTTCTCCATGAGTTGAGAGGTAATTTTGCGTGGTGTCAATTATCATTATGTCAAAATGGTTCAAGTAGAGTGATATGGAAAACTTGATGGATGCGAGAGTTTATGGGCAGCTGTAGATTGTATGCTGCTTTGCTGATTCTCTCCACGATGGTTAGGGGTGTCAATTTCGGGTCACGGATGGCTTCTGGTCAAACCCGAAGCTAACCCGACACTATTTGGGTCAACTTGAACCCGATCTGCTTCGGGTACGGGTCTAACCGACATGACCCGAATGACTCGGTGCCAACAAAAAAATGCTAGTTTTCTTGTCCAAAAAAAGGTCAATCTCCGCTTTTTAAGACAAAAAATAGGTCAATCTCGGGTTGTCGGGTCAAAACATATTTTTCGGTCAAAATGGGTCAGTTTCGGGTCATTTTCGGTCAAGGGTCAACCCAAACTCGACCCGTTTATAGTTAGGGTTGACCCTAACTCGAAATTTTCGAGCCGGGATCGAATTGAATTTTTAGGACGTGTCAAATATTGACACCCCTAACTATGACATATGGCTTTTGGTAGCTATGACTGAGCTTGGAATAGGACTCTATCTTGAGTTGCTGTAAGGTGAGGTCTCTATCTTGAAAGAGAATGTCGATAGCTTCCATTGTGGATTGGTTGCCAAGTTATGGATGTGTTGGGTACAATAAGTGACCATAAAGAAGTGTTATAAAAGTACTCCAATCAGGGTAAAATGAACTATTAATTTGAAATCTGATCTATATTGAAGCAGCAAAGATGTTATTTGAGTCCTTAATTGGTGACTTCCATTGATCCATTTTTAGTTTTGTGTGGAATATGGTTGCATTGATCAAAGCTCAATTCGTCGGTAGAGCTCAAGGAGTTTGCTGGGAGGTTGCAGGGGGAAGCACGACCCCTGCCGAAGTTCGAGGCAAAGCTCCCACAAATTTTTTTTTTTTTCGTATAGTTGTAAAGCGCCACAGTACTGTATATTAGAGCGTTGCAGTGCTTCAAGCTCGAGTTGAAAATAGAGTGGAGCTCTACGGTGCTCAAGCCAGCATCTCAACGCTACAGGGTGGACTCAGAGATAAATAGTGGAGCTCCGCGCAACACTGCTAGCTGGGCTAAGCAGTTTTCTTCCCTCTTACTTTTATTTCACTTGAAGAGTTGCATCCTTAATTTGGTGTAATAAAAGTGCCTATTTGACTATTCTATGCATAAAATAATATATGAAGTGAAGAGAGACAAGGGGAGAGTATAAGAAAAGTGATTTGTACAATTTATTTCAAATTTCGTAGTGAATTTCTTAGTGTGATGCGGCTCTGTGATTTCTTCCCGATTTCAAATTTTTCCAATTTAATTCCTCGTGTTCTTTTCTGCTATTTTCTTTTATTATTAATTTCGTTATGCGGTTTACTTACCAACGTCCATCGATCTCCTAATGATAGCTTGTCCTATAATATAATTTTGTCCCCCTGGCCCTAAAAAGCTCCTTCCCATCCATTTTTAGTTTTGTGTGGAATATGGTTGCATTGATCAAAGCTCAATTCGTCGGTAGAGCTCAAGGAGTTTGTTGGGGGGTTGCAGGGGGAAGCGCGCCCCCTGCCGAAGTTCGAGGCGAAGCCCCCACAATTTTTTTTTTCCGTATAGTTGTAGAGCGCCACAGTACTGTATATTAGAGTGTTGCAGTGCTTCAAGCTCGAGTTGAAAATAGAGTGGAGCTCTACGGTGCTCAAGCCAGCATCTCAACGCTACAGGGTGGACTCGGAGATAGATAGTCGAGCTCCGCGCAAACTGCTAGTTGGACTAAGCAGTTTTCTTCCCTCATTTTTATTTCACTTGAAGAGTTGCATCCTTAATTTGGTGTAATAAAAGTGCCTATTTGACTATTCTATGCATAAAATAATATATGAAGTGAAGAGAGACAAGGGGAGAGTATAAGAAAAGTGATTTGTACAATTTCTCTCAATTTTCATAGTGAATTTCTTAGTGTGATGCGACTCTGTGATTTCTTTCCGATTTCAAATTTTTTCAGGTTAAATCCTCGTGTTCTTTTCCGCTATTTTCTTTTATTATTTATTTCGTTATGCGGTTTACTTACCAACATCCATCGATCTCCTAATGATAGCTTGTCCTATAATATAATTTTGTCCCCCTGGCCCTGAAAAGCTCCTTCCCACTCCAAAAACTTTGATCCCGATTGGTGGTGATGATCTATGGTGGTCCGTTGAGTTTACATACATCTCTGATAAAGCCTGCGATAGCTTAGGGACAATGTTTTAAGTGCTTTTTAAAACTATTTTTTAGTACAAAAATTTTTAAACTCAAAATTTTTATACTAAAAAGCTGCTATAAAAAGTACCAAAGAAGCCATCCCAAACAAAGCCTTAGGCTGCGATTGAGAGCAAATGGAAGAAGTAAAGAAAGAAGAAAGGCTGGAGAGACCGTGAGAATGAAAACAGAGAAATTGATATTATTATTATATTCTTAAACTATTACATATACAAGTATAAATAGACTGAACTTAGGATAGAAAGGTAAATACAAAGCAACGGTCATAACAGACTTTTATATGGTGCTAATATCCTCCCTCAAATTAGGCGCTCGGTGACCGAGTGGTTAATTTGGTACGTAATTCCAAGAACCGAGATATCGAGAACGGTTTGGTGAGAATGTCGGCAATTTGATCGGCAGATGAGATGTGCTCTAGTTTGATATTGCCGGAGTTGAGTTGCTGACGAATGAAGTGATAGTCGATCTCGATATGCTTCGTTCGGGCGTGAAAAATTGGATTTTTGGCTATGGCCATGGCCGAGGTATTATCACAGTGGATTGTTGTCGGAGATGGCTGTGGGAGCTGAAGTTCGGCGGCAAGTCTTCGGAGCCAGATGACATCTGACGCGGCAGCAGATAGAGACCGGTACTCAGCTTCAGTGGAGGATTTGGCAACTGTAGGTTGCTTTTCCACTGTCCAGGAGATGAGGTTGGGGCCGAGGAAAGTGCAGAAGCTGGATACCGACTTACGGTCGGTTGCATCTGATGCCCAGTCTACGTCGGAGTAGGTTCGAAGATTCAGAGAGCCGTGTGTGATTGGCAAGCCGTAGGAGAGAGTTCCTTTGACGTATCGTAGTAGCCGTTTGAGTTCATGGAAGTCCTGTTCAGTGGGAGTTTGCATATGCTGGCAGACACGGTTTGTGGCATACGCTATGTCGGGTCTGGTGATCGAGAGGTATTGGAGTGAGCCAGCGAGGCGGCGGTATAGGGACGGATCGGGATGCGGCTGTAAGTTTGGTTTCTTCTGGTGATTGACGGGAGTAATCGGTGTTGGTGCTGATTTGCATTCCTTATACCCTGCATCATTAAGAATTTTGGAAGCGTAGTGTTCTTGAGAAAGAAAGAAACCATGTTTAGTACGGGTCACCTGGATTCCAAGGAAGAGTGAGATGTCCCCTAACTGTTTGAGTGCGAATTGCTGCTTGAGTTTGGAGAGAAGTCGGCGAATGGCTGCAGCGTCATTACCTGTAACCAGAAAATCATCTACATAAATTAGCAAGTATATGCAAATACCGTTTTGATTAAAGATCAAGAGTGAGGGATCGGAACGACTGAACCCGAATCCGAGTTGTTGTAGGAAACTCGTTAGCTTTTGAAACCATTGTCGCGGTGCTTGCTTTAGGCCGTAGAGAGATTTTTGTAGTTTGCACACCGCGTTTAGTTGAGTTGGATCGGTGAAGCTCGGAGGTTGTCGCATGTAGATGTCGTCTGGTAGTTCTCCATGTAGAAATGCATTAGCTATGTCCAGTTGATAAACTGGCCAGTCACGGTTGAGAGAAAGAGCAAGGAGTAGTCAAATTGTAGGCATCTTTGCAACCGGGCTGAAGGTCTCATTGTAGTTAATGCCGAATTTCTGATCATATCCGAGAGCGACGAGACGTGCCTTATAGCGGTCGACTGTCCCGTTGGGTAGGAGCTTGATCTTGTATGTCCATTTGCAACCTAGAACGGGCTTGCCTGAAGGGGGAGGGACAAGTGACCAGGTGGATTGCTGTTGAAGAGCGTTAAATTCAGCCTGCATTACTGCCTGCCAAGGTTCGGATTTAAGAGCCTGAAGATAAGTAGTAGGAGTGACGGGAGGAGTAACTTGAGCAAGCAGATTGAAGACCGGCTTCGGTTTGCGGATACCAGATTTAAGACGAGTTTGCATTTGATGTGTAGGTGGAGTGGTGTGAGGGGGTTGAGTGGATGAGCTGAGAGTCTCAGGTGGCGAGGGTGAGTTGGATGAAGTGTCAGGCTGTGTGTCGGTGATTGGGTTAGTGGTGGCTGGATTGTGTGAAGGCAGAGTGTGAGTATTAGTGAAAGGAGTGATAGTGGAGGAAGGTGTTAGAAGTAGAGGGGGCATGGGGGAGATGCGATCCGGTTGGTCCGAGGGAGGCTGATTTGAGTGGTGCTTGAGCGGGAACTGAGTTTCGTAAAAGAGGACGTGTCTAGAGGTGTATGTGCGACCAGTGATAATGTTGTGACATAAGTATCCTTTTTGTTGAGGTGAGTAGCCGATAAAAACGCAGGGTTGAGATCTTGGAGCAAGTTTGTCTGTGGAGTAAGGTTTTAACCAAGGATAGCATAAGCAGCCGTATGTTCGAAGGTGTGTGTAGGTCGGTGAGGTACCTGTGAGGCATTGGTGTGGTATTTGATTAGAGATGGATTTGGAGGGAAGTTTATTGATGAGGTAGTGGGCGGTGGAGAGCGCAGAAGACCAGAACTTGGGAGGTAGTCTGGATTCGTGTAAAAGAGCGCGAGTAAGGTCCAGAAGGTGACGGTGTTTGCGTTCGGCGACACCATTTTGTTCGGGCGTGTGAGGGCAGGTCAGCTGATGGAGGATTCCGTGATCCTGCAGCAGGTGACGGAAGGCGAAGCTAGTAAATTCACCTCCGCCGTCGGAGCGGAGAATCTTTGGGATTTTATTGTGTTGAGTTTTCATAAGATTAAGGAAATTCTTGAATGCCATTAGAGCTTCGTCTTTAGTGTGAAGAAGATAGAGCCATGAAAAACGGGAGTAGTCGTCGATAAATACTATGTAATACCGATGACCGTCAAGAGAGATGTGAGGAGCCGGTCCCCAGACATCAGTGTGAACAAGCTCAAAGGGTTGCGAAGTAATAGTAACTCTTTTATTAAAAACTAACTTGTGGCTTTTAGCCTGATTACAAGAGTTACAAAAGAATGAATGAGGTACATTAGTAATTTCAGGAATTAAGCGAGAAAGGGTGTTGTGGGTGTCTTTGTTCGGGTGTCCTAGGCGAGAATGTCAGTTGCCCGAGTCGTTGGATTTGGCCATGAGAGCAGAGTTCGTGATGTCAGATGCGGTGTGGAGGTGGTAAAGACCGTTACTGAGATGTCCATGAAGCAGCGGACGGTGGTCCCGTGAGTCCTTTATGACAAATCCGTTAGCATCAAAAGAAATGGTAACATAGTTATCGGAAGTAAGTTTTGAGACGGAAAGAAGATTGTGTGTGAGTGTAGGAACGTGTAAGAGATTGTTGAGATGTAACTTACGAGTGGTGTCCGGCAAAGGAAGGAGACCTTGACCGGCATTGGTGATTGGAAGGTTGTTACCGTTTGCGGTGGAGACCGTATCCGATCCGTGATAGGCTGTCGGGTAGCAGAGGTGGTTGACGTCCGGTGTTAGGTGCGTGGATGCGCCTGAGTCAAGAATCCAGTCTTGACTGACTTGAGCGGACGGATTTGCGAAGAGAGCCCGGGGTTGGCGATTGTCGGTAGGAGCGTATTTAGGATTGTGGCGATGCCAGCAATTGAGGGCAATGTGCCCAATTTTGCCGCAAATTTGACATGTCGGTCTTGCCGAAGCGGGTGCGGCGGTAGTCACAGAAGTCGGATCAGAAGAAATTTGAGACGATTGCTGATTCTTGGGTTTGGTGAATCTTCTGTTGCTATTGTTACGATTGCAAGACGAATTTGAAGAAGCAGCGTAGAGAGCCGTGGGGTTTGGCTCTTGAAGATTTTCTTGCTGAAGGTGAATTTCCTCATTGCACAGCAAGGCATAGAAAGTATCCAAATCGATTGTTAGGAGGGAGTTGCGGATTGTCGATTTGAATGAGTTGCAAGTTGGCGGGAGACCGTTAAGGATATGAAGCATGACATCTTCGGACTCGATCTTGGAGTCGGAGGCAGAGATGTTGTCGACGATCATCTTAATGTGAGTGAGGTATTGTTGCACGGAGAGGTCCTTCATTTGAGTGCGGTAGAGCTCGTTCTTGAGCTGGATGACGCGGGAGCGACTTGTCGGTTGAAGTCGCTTCTCAAGAACTGTCCAAGCAGCATTGGCGGTGGAAGAAGTAATAATGTACGACAAGATAGATTGAGATACCGTGGCAAAAAGAGCTGAAAGGAGATTGCTGTCAATAACCAGCCATTGAGCATAATCGGTAGAGGCTGGATCGGGTGGAGCCGGAACGGTGCCAAGAAGATGTCCGGCGAAGCCATTTGCTGTAAATTGCTGTAGAATTTGCGCTCGCCAGATCGGGTAGTTATCCGGCGTGAGATGATGGGGAGCGAGGTTCTTGATGTTGGAGAGAAGAAATTTGAGATTTGGTGGGATGCAGGCGGAGATTCCAGCGGAGGTGGTGGTTTGGGTGGAGGATGAGGCGGAGGAGGAGGAAGAAGGGAGGGGTAAGGATTCTATGAGGTTCTTGAGCGACCTTTATGGCTCTGATACCATGAGAGCAAATGGAAGAAGTAAAGAAAGAAGAAAGGCTGGAGAGACCGTGAGAAGGAAAACAGAGAAATTGATATTATTATTATATTACTAAACTATTACAGATACAAGTATAAATAGACTAAACTTAGGATAGAAAGGTAAATACAAAGCAACGGTCATAAAAGACTTTTATATGGTGCTAATAGCGATGAATTTGGTTTGTATCAGAAATTAGCTGTGGGTCTTCGAAAGGTTTCCGCTCGTGTGGTTCGAATGCAAAGAGTACGATCACACTATCCCGTAGGACAAAATGGTTGTAGGCCTTTACACCCGGTACAAGCAGGCCGATGGAAGAGCAGATGGAGTTATAGATACGATTAGCCATGGAGGATAGCGGCTTTCACCTACCAACCTCGATGGATAATAATATCTATAACCCAAAAGTTCACGAG